AGAGTTGTTCTTGAATTTATTTGAAAACCCACAGGACCAAAAGCAGTTGTATGTAACCTGAAAATATGTACTTTTATCCTGAAAAAAGTTTCCAATAGGAGATTGAAGAGCTATGGTGCTTAAGTGGCATCTGGATGGCTCAAGGAGACCAGTCAACAGAGATGAAGAGCTGTAGGGTATTTTTAGAGAAAAGGAAGAAAGGAAAATAGTTCAGGAGTAAGGATCAGAGAGTGAGCAGGCGTGTTGACTACGGAGCCACAGAGACCCTGACCCACAATGTGCAGGGTGTGCTGAAGCTGAATCAGAAGGCTCAAGCTCTGACTTCCCAGACAGCTTACGGCAAAGAACAGTGAGGGAAGAAAAGACAAAAATATGGCTCTGTAAGCTAAACATACTGGGTAAATTGGCTAAAAAGTGAAAATGCAGCTAGGACTAGGGCTAAGAACTATGGCTTTAACAGAGAACTCTTCCCAAATTTAAACTTTGGGAATGTGCTGCCAAAACTGAAATCTACTAAGGGAATGATCATGCAAATAGCTCATTATTTTTACACTGTGCGTCTGACAAGTCCAGTGGCAGACATCATGATATTTGTTTTCCACCTCCAGCAAGATTTAAGCCAAAAACTATTTAAAAGCTGCTAGAACTATTGCTAAGAGTACATACTTTCCAAATTGAATATAGCTTTAATTCACTTTATCACACTTGCTGTAGTTCTTTGCAGTAAGAAATGACATCAGGATCTCTATCCATACTAGGTTTATAGGCCTCTCAGATAATTATGAATCAATACAGTTGGGTTCTGAACATTGTGTCTCCCTGGAGTTCATTAGCATTTTTTAGCTGCTCTGTAACTGTGTACTTAACCACATTAATCCAGATGTCCTATATCTTTCATACAAATAGAGTAAACAAAGCTCCATAAAACATAGATATTGTATAGCCATGACTTGTGTACAGCCATGTTGTAGGTCACTGATATATGCAAGATACTGGGCCATTTTTTTCTTTCCATAAACCTTCAACCACTTTTCTTAAGAGCATTAGCCAAGGCTGACATGCCCTCTGCTGTTGGCCTCCCTTCACCACTGGGCCTGGGTCTAAGTGTCTTTTTGATGGGTCCTTGTAGATGAAAACCTCAGAGAAAGTGTTTTATCAAGTGCCCTAGAGCATCTACTAACACCATGTCATGCCAAGAGATCTGTCACCACAAGTCTTTAACTTCTTTCTCAGAGTTGACTGATAGTCTGCAAGACAGACAACTCTAGTTAAACTTGGAAACAAGTAACTCCTTGGATCTTCTCCAGCCATGTTTCATACCAGAATAGAAGATAGAAAAATAGCACAGCTCTTGAGATATGGCTATAGGACAGCCACCAGTTCCAAAACCCCAAGGTCTATATTGTTTTCCAATTGTAAACAGAATTGTGTTTGCAATTTAAATGCATGGAACTTATCTATGGCCACTATCTTTGACAGCTTTAGAGCAACTAAGTGAGGTACTGCCTCATTGACTAGAGGGGCACTTCCAGAAGACTCTAATTGGTGTCTCTTTTCAGTCTCTGCAGAGTTCCTTCAGCCAGCTGGGAGAGTTTGTATTGCCTGCAGGGTAGACTGTTGGCTGTAAATTTCTGTTACATTAGACTTGGAATTTGTGGTACTCAAACATCACAGTGACTAGAAAAGTAAGAAAGAAAATGTCATCATAAATGGTCATCATGAGAATTAAGTAGTTGGCCTCCTTTTGATCTGAAACTTCAGATCAAACCCACTTCGAGTACTACTTTGAAGATATGATATTTTGTGAAAAAAAAACAAACAGAACATATGAAAATGTGCACGTAATTTTTAATGGTTTATTAATCTTGTAGATATTTGAATAATAATATTCAACCTTTTCTATAGCCTCATGGCTCTTGGCATTGTTTTTAGTGAGTTGTGCCCTTGCCTTTGTTTTTAGAGGGAGCAGCTGCAATGAGCCACACATAGTCTCCCACCTTACCCCCAGTGGTAATCTCAGCAGCAGCCAGATCAGGATCCTGAATGAGAAGTATATAGTGCACTTTTGAAATACAGCTATCCTCTGTGGGCAGATGACCAGTCTGTAAAGGATCATATCCCATTTCACCCAATATTTTACAAGTCATTATTATTCTATTGTTTCTACTGTTCTCATTTACACTGCTACCTGCTTTATGCCATGCAAACCCCACCACACATTTGTTTTCCAGCTTCTTTTCCTTACTGCCTCCCAGAACCCTTTTAGAGGATTTACACTTCTTATATCTCAGACTACCTGCTCTCCAACCTATATAAAGAAAGAAGGAATGCATTTGAATACAGTCACAGACTAGGAGAAATGTTTTGTAATATTCAGGATAATCTCCCTAACATGGGTTAAGAGACTGTATGAACATAGATGGGAGACACAAGGAGTGGATAAACTACACGGTAAAGGTACAGCTAAAGGTAAAGTGCTCACTTTCTCACCTCCTGCACCAAGCACAGTGAAGTACCTGGCAGGATTGCTACATACATGTTTTGTTGATTTTTTTTCAATTTCAGTAAAGTAAATAGAACGTAGAAAAGTGATCACCCAATATTCTCTAGGGCATACACATCATCATGATAAGAAAATTACTGCAAAAGTCATTTTTGGCCAAGTTTGCCTTTAAGTGAAGATAATAGAATAGACAAGATCTGGCTCTGGGCCCAATGCTGATGAGAGCATTAGCTCTGCCACTTACCAGTGCTGTGACCTTGGACCAGTAAACATTTCCAACCCTAAGTTTCTTTATCTTTGAATCAGAAAGAATGATGGGACATTCCTCCTGTGTCACTGTAGGGACTAAATAAGTTAACTCCTGCTATAATCCTTGGCACATAATAAGCACTATATAAATGTTTGCTATTGGCTGGCTCCAGTGGCTCATGCCTGCAATCCCAGCACTTGGGGAGACCAAGGCAGGTGGATCACTTGTGTTTAGGAATTTGAGACCAGCCTGACCAACATGGTAAAACCCTACCTCTACTAAAAATACAAAAATTGGCCAGGTGTGATAGCATATGACTGTAGTCCCAGCTACTCAGAAGGCTGAGGCACAAGAATCTCATGAACCTGGGAGGCAGAGGGGGCAGTCAGCTGGGATTGTGCCACTACACTCCAACTTGGGCGACTGAGTGAGACTCTGTCTCAAAAAACAACAACAAAAAAAGTTTGCTATTATTATTTGACGGATTCTGCTACTCTGTTTGGGAGACTGCATTATTAATTGTTCTGCTATATTTAAGAGCCATAATAATTAAGACTTTCTCTTTTAACTAGAATATGTATGAAGTTAAATTTACTTACCTCATCACTGTTCTTTGATTTAATCAGCCTTGTCATCAACACACATTCACTGAATGCCTGCTATACATATACCTCTAAGCCACCTGTTAATGCTACTATATATAGAGTCTAAAATTTCTCCTTGCCTTATTATATATTTGCAAAAGGATCAATATGTATGGAACCTCATGTCTCCTGACTTTCAAGAATAAGATTTTAACTTGCATGTTCTTGGCTAGAAACTTCGTGTAACAACCCCCCCCCCCCCAACACACACACACACACTCAATGATTACTTTCTTCATTACTTCCTCTAACTGACCTAGAATTCTTCACACAATGCTAGCTGGTGAAAAGTTACATAAAATATATGTAATGCCATGAGAATTCTCTTCTGACAATAGCGCCATTATTGTTTCAGTAGGATAACAGCATCGTTTGTCTTCCTAATCATAGGATACACCATTACTCGTGAGGCCCATTATTTTCTCAAGAATTCTAAGTATCCATCACCTCATTCTTGTGCCCTTTATGTTTAGTGGCACAATGCAAAGGTTTTCTATTAGAAGCGATCTTCAGTTACAAGCTCCTCATAAGAAACACCTGGTGTAAATGTTAACTAACATTAATCTTTTCTGTATACCTAAGGTGTTACCTGTATCAGTGAGTGCAGCTAACATTTGCTTCTTAAAATTTTTCTCCACTTTTTGAAGCTTTCATTCTCTTTAAAAAATAACAATGTTTGTATAATGCTGCTGTTTGATTTTGCCTAATTATCCTCCTTCTGTGTCTTATCTTCTGAGGTAACATGTTAAGAACTTGGCCTCTATAATATTTTCTCTCTTCCTAGCTTTTGAGATCTGGATAAAATATGCAATCTCCCTGCAATCTTTTTTCTGAGATAATTGAAGCTATTTGACTTGAATGACTTAATCTAAAACAATGCTAATCTTTATGTTTTTTATGGCCCTCACCCAAAATGTAATCCCTTAAAAACCTAGAAAAGTCTTCTCTCTCTTTCTTTCTTCTTAGAAGCTTTAGGGACAGCCAAATGTCTTTGCTTCTTTCCTATCCATTCCAAGACAAGCATAGTGCTTACTGAATTATTTCCAGGACAACTGAAAACTACCAATATTTAAATGTCTTAAGTTTGAGGTTTTATAGCAGACATCTCTTTCTGGCCCAAAAGTCCATGTGCATCCCATTTTCATACAACTAATTCCAAAAAGCAAAGCAATAGAAAAACATTTTTCCCGTATTTACTAAGTTAATAACATGTGGGAACACACAGTTCTATAGTACATTGATCGAAGTCCTGTGAGAAGTGCCAAAAATAAACTGAAGACTTACAACCTCTTCTCTGGGAGGGTTTTATGGGTATAATTTTTTTAAATGAAGAATATGCTGATGGTTGACCTTCTGATAAAATGTTACACACTCCCACTTAGGACCTCTTTTTGGATTCACGACAGATTTAACCTAAAAATATCTTATAAGCCTGATAATAAGTTAATGTCCATGTATTTCTGTATTAACCAGAATATTTAACTAAGCAGACACTTTCATTTTCTTCACTATATGATTTTAAGAGTTCTTAGATATATTATTTAAATATGCATTGTTTTGGTAAATGTGTACATTATTTCTCTTTGATTTGTTGATACTACAGGGACCTCCTGGAATACAAGGAATACACCAGACTCTTGATGGATATTATAACAAGGATAACAAGGTATGGCTTCTTTTTTTCCACAATTTATAATACATAGAAATTTTATGTGATTGTATTTTTGAAAGAAAACTTATTAATTCCTAACTTTTCAGACTTTTATACATGATCACATATATTTAAACTCTTTTCATACTGAAAGCTGTGTTTCCAAAAACCAAAATAAAAAAGCATTTTTCTTAGTATACAAATCTAGGTTTTTATCCAAACAAATTTTTTTAAAAACTTTTTTCAAAGTTTGTTAATTCAAAAAGTTGCATTCTGCCATTGATAATATCATGTGTCTAACCTCTCTGAGGGCAGAAAGAAGTTATTTACTACTTTGAAGCTCTGGGTGATAGATTTCTTATCAAAACCAATAGGTGCTACACCAAAATCCCAAGCAAATGTTTGCATACTACAGTTCAAGAATGAGAGTCCTCACCTTTCAGGAGAAACTATGTTTAATTTCCCCAAGGTTTTTTAAAATCATGTTTGAGATAGTTGGAATGCTGACGTGGAAGTATCCAAATGGCAAAAGCAAGGGAGTTTTGTTCTAGATTCCACAAGAAGCTCAATAGTAGCAGCCAAGAGTAGAAGATCTAGGTGAGATCATTTATTGATTGATCATTTAGTGACGAATATTTGGGCAATGATCACTTTGTGTGAGGCATTCTGTCCACTTATTAGGATGCCTTGTTTACATATGGTTCATCATTGATTCCTTGCACCACAGAAAGAATTGGTGATACTTCCCTTTATGTCTTTCTTTTCTATGTTCTTACTTTCCCTTCCTATAAATTTTTCTGACAGCTGTTATTCCTCTATGTTTAGAAATCCCGAAGAGACACTATATGCCAAAACATTTGTTAAATGACTAGCTAACTAATTATAAAATCCCAATTTTTCTTTCATTAGAGTAAGGTCAACACAAAGACTTAGGTAATTTGTGGTTGACAAATTTAAAATCAAACGTGGAAAGTTTTTTATACTTTATAAATTTGATAGTGATGCTATTTTAAATTCTCTTGTTTATTTAGGTTTTCCAGGGAGTATTATATTAGGAAGAATGTCTATATTTCATGTTTCTTTATTAAACATTTTCTTAATAGAACTTTAGTAGCTTTTTCAAAATATTAAGGCTTAGCACTATGGAAAAAAAAAGAACTCTGAAGCATGTCTAAATTTAATCAATTTAATGATACCTGTAATGATACCTGCTGTTATAAAATAGGATTTATCATAAATGTTTCAAAATAATGAGAATAAGTTGGCTCTGATGTCACAGTGTCAGCTAGAAAAACTTAAAGAACACACTATATTGCTATCACCCTTGGTATAAAATATACCAAGTTGCTACTCAGCTACTTAAATATTTGCTATTCCTTGCAAAACTTTTAAAGCTTGTATTTTTACTGGTCTCCCAACACTACTTCGCTATATAGTTTATCTTGCTGATGAGTCAGATTTCCGTTAAATGAAGATATATGGAGCATTTATATTTTAGAGTCTAAAGTTGAGAATGTAAATTTTTTAACTTTAAGGTTATATTTCAAAAAAATAATGGGGCTGACCAGAGCAGCTGAGTGGAGAATCTTGCTAGACATAAACCAGTACTTTGAAGTTAGTTATTAACTCACCTAAAAGAACCCCAGTTACATTATTGCCATTAAAAAATAGAGGCTCATAGGTATTTAGTCCACATGTTCTCTAAATGTGACTTTAAAGCTGAAGTATGACTGGATAAAGAGAAGAGAGCATAGCTATTATCCCAAATGATGCACTATAAGCATTTAGCCTCAAAGGCTTTAGATGCATCTGCAAATTAAGAGAATATAACTTACCAAACACTTTATTGTTTCCTTTGAGAGTAGTCAGAGCTCTTACACTGAGGTCCCACCAGGAAGGATGGAGATGGTGGGATCCACCTTCCTAGAACCCACACTGCCCCATACTTCTGTATTGTAACCACCTCCTTACCCTTAGCTTCACAAAGGAAAAGCCAAATGTGCTGTGATGAGCATGATGCATGTTTTCCATTGGCAATGTCACCACCACCTACCCCTGTCTGTTTTTGGATACTGAGGTTGTTTCATTTTGCAATTTGCAGCGTGCTGGATGGTCTGGCTGTAGCAAATAAGCACAGAGAGAAGTAGGGCCTGAGGGAAACCTTCCTAGAGATTAAATAATGGACCATGTATTGAGACATAGCAAGTGACACTCCAAGGTTAAAATAACCTTCCCTTTTAAATTGGCATTGATTTATGTAATGTCTACACTGGAGCCCTGGACCTCTGCTCTTCAACTCACAGCAGCTTCAACAGTCACACAGCCCAGATTCTGCTGAAGCAACTACCCATGGGAGAAAGAGTAACAGACTACTCATTAATTGCCCCTCCTCGTTCGGAACTCAAAGAGTCCATGGTTCATTTTCCGGTTCCAGGATCCTCACTTGCTCTCTGGCTCCCATACAGGAACTTATCTCTTCCCTGTGATTTTCCTTATGTCATCTGGAGGGAGAAGCTCAGGTGTAAGAAACTCTTTCTCCTCGCAGCACAAATCAAAAAAGGGATGGAGAAGAAAACAAAGCAAGTGAGGAATAGAGAGACAGCCTAAGGAGTGAGGTCAGAAAGATTACATGAGTGTGTTGATGTGTATTTTTGCATGCCCACTTAAGAAGACAAAGAATAAAAGGTAGATTTCTCTATCACAAAAATAATGTGCAAAACAGCTGCTCCCATTCTGCAAGATTGTTTGCAAAGAAGCAACAATGCTGAGCATATTCTTCCCCTCAAGGAAAATCTGCTCATGATCCAGTAAATTGCACTTCATTGTTTCCAGCCTCTAGGGGTTTTAATAAAAATTTGATAGGCTCTGTCAACTACTGAAGCCATCAGACCCACAGTTCCTTACTACACTTTAGACAGAGAAAAAAAGTACGGTTTATTGGTGGAGGCCAAGTACTGGCGGATTTTACATTTGATGTTGTTTTTAAAGAGCCAGATTGAAAATGCAGAGTTGTGTTATCTTACATCACCACACTCAGTCTCAGCTGTTGGAGAGTGATGCTGTGCCTCCCAGCAACCAATTCTTGTATCCATTTCTCCAAATTGTTGATCCAAAAAAAAAAAAAAACCAATTTGCTAGCAAAATAATCTATTTTTCTTTTCACATATTAAATCATAACTTCACTTTAATATCTACAGACTAGAAAGGACAGAAAGGCTTTATCCAAAATCCAATATTTAAGGCCTTTTGAAGCAGTGCGTTAAACCCAACAATGTCATAAAGTGAAGGCTCCCTTGGAGACGCTGCAGGCAACCTTTCTGGGCCCAGAAGATTGAGAAATAAAGTTTAAGTTCTAACTTCATCTCTCTCCTTCCCTGTGTTCTAGGATCGCTGGCTTTGGGAAACATTGTGGACTTAGGCACAGACATTTGGACTTTTAGATGTTGGTCTGATTACAGACAGCCCTCCAGTTCACCTAAGTCCTGCCTTCCTTTCATGGCCCTCCACACTTGCAGCTGTTTAAAAGGTTTCTTTGCAGATAACTAAGAGTATGGGCTTTGAGCCAGCCTTAGGCCTTATTTTCAAGTGAGCCCAGGTTTCTTAGCCCAAATATTATGTTTTAACTTGCTAGGGCTGCCACAACACAATGTCACAAACCGAGTGGCCCAGAAATTTATCATCTCATGGTTCTGGAGGCCAGAAGTCAAGATGAAGGTGTTAGCAGGGCCATACTATCTTCGAAGGTGCTAGGGAGGAATGTCTTTCAGGCCTCTCTCCTAGATCTGGTGGTTCCTTGGCCACCTTCACATGGTGTTCTCCCTGTGTGGATGTCTCTGCAAAATTTCCCTTTTTATGAAGACACAGTCTTACTGGATTAGGAGCCCAACCTACTCCAGCATGTTCTCATCTTAACTAATTACTTTTACTAATTATTAATTACATCTGCAATGACCCTATTGGCAAATAAGTTCACATTCTGAAGTTCTGGGTGTAACGATTTATACATATAAATGGGAGTGGGAGGTACACAATTTCAGCCTATAAAAAATAACCTGGTTTTTCTGAACTTTATGTCCCCTCATGCCTAGGATATTACAGCAAGTTCCCCAAAAACTAACCCGGTGGATTTGTAATGAGTCTATATCCTAGGAAGGAGTTCATATCCTTGGGTTCTTTTATTAGTTGAATAGTAGAAAACTGCAGATATTTTACTCCCTGGGACCTACAAAAATTGTCATCTAATATGGTTCAATCCATGTATATCCAGGTACATTCTCTTCTTTCCAGAGAAAACCCTCTTTAAGGCTTTCAGTAGCTTGAGTCTTTCACTTGCCTGACCATAGGTTCCAAAGTTCCATTCACCATTCCCACAGAGACCCAAGAACAAATGCTGACATCCTAGAATTCTTGATATAGGCGTGCAGATTAGCATCATCACACCACAACCCTCACTGCATCACCACAAGAATTGTTTAATAAACACATTCAAAACTGGGCCCAGAAGATTGAGAAATAAAGTTTAAGTTCTAACTTCATCTCTCTCCCCTGTGTCGCAGGATCACTGGCTTTGGGAAGCATTGTGGACTTAGGCATAGACATATGGACTTCTAGATGTTTTTAGCCATAGACATATGGACTATTATATTTATTTGGAAGGCTTACAAGAACCTTAACATGGCACCAAGGCACAAAGTAATCCGATAAAATTAGAATAGCCTCTGAGGCAGAACTGCCATTCTAGAAACACAAAGACTGTGCCTCTTATTTTTATGAAGCCAGGTAATTGTCCGGTACAGCTAGCTTGGAGAAGGTAGGGAGAAGCAGCTCACATACCAATGAATGAATGCTACTAAAGCTCAAGTTTGAATCTGCCTTGAGTATTACTAACCCAAGAGTGGGGAATGGCACTAAAGGCCACTGAGAGTCCTTGATTAGATGGATTTCCTGGCCTTGCTATCGAGTGAAGCAAACATGGTACTCTGATGGGCAATAAATGGCTGTGTTGTTTTTCTGTGTGTGAAAGCCATCAGGAAAATCAAGATTTTAGAATAATAAAGCCTATTGATAGGACACTAGAAGTTGGTGCTGCAGAGGGATTCCTTCATCCCAGCCACAGCCTCTCTCATGCCCTGTAGGTTATTGAGTGTGAGGTGGGCTATGCTAGAATATGCTCTTCTCAAAGGTGCTTTAGGTGTTCTCCTGCTCTGCAATCCAAGAGCATGGGGCCTTCCAAGCCAAAGACCATCTCCAGGCAAATCATATCTCAGACTGAAGCATGTTCCAGTTTCCTAACATGTATCCTACCATAAATACAGCCAGGGAGAGATGCTGATGTTTTGTGCATACTGGCTGACACCATGCTCAAGTGACTAGTGTTTTTGAGACATCTCTAAGATTTATGTTTCTGTGCAGGTTACATCCAAGCAACCTGCCATTTTGTAACTGCTGGTTCTTTATAAATGTATATATATATATATCTTGTGTTTTCACATTTCATTTTCAAATACTGTTGATTATAATAATTTAGAACAAAATTTTGAGAATATAATTTTTATTTTCAATATAGATATCACAGACCAAAGTTCACAGAAGAAAATGAGAGAATATCCATTATAGGAGCAATAATAATATCATTAATAAATTACTAACTTTTTATTGGAGTAGCATAAATAACATGGAAAGCATATTTAAAATATCAGATGCTAGCAATAGCGATCCGAATGGGTACCTCTGTATATTTTTGTTGTCTAAATGTTTCTGTATCTTTTAGATTTTCTATCAACACTTGTATTTTTAATCAGAAAAATAAGTTTAATGGAAAAAGCACATGATTAGAATTACTGGCTCATTTGCTCAAGATTTATTGAATGCCAGCAGAGGCTTTCATGAATGACATTTCATAATAGTTAAGACCTGACTAATAGCTAGTTTCTAGCCAGACTAAAAGGTGAGGACAAAGAGTGATGATCTGGAGGTCAATTTAGGGAGCTGCAAGAAAACCATGATAACTGAAGCTTCTGAGGAAGACGAGTGGCCAACATGATGCTGGAGAGGAAAATGAGTTCAGGTCATGCAGGGATTTGATGGTGATATCAAAGTTATTAAAAAAATGAATGTCAGAATATCTTTTGAAGGTATTTCTCTGACCTTATGTAGAGAATATGTGTGTCAGGAAAGCAAGAGTGGATTGTAGACGGCCAGTTAGAGACTCCCTGCAATAATCATGGCAAGGCATGATGGTGGTCTGTCTGGATATAGGCAGGTGGATTCTGTCTCTTAAGAGAAGACACTTGGGAAGACACAGTGGGTGACTGGATGACTGAACATACATGAGGAATAAGAAAGAGGGTGGTTATATTAGTCCATTTTTATGCTGCTGATAAAGACATACCTTAGACTGGGCAATTTACAAAAGAAAGAGGTTTAATGGACCCACAGTTACATGTGGCTGGGGAGACCACATGGTGTAAGGTGAAAGGCACATCAGACATGGTGGCAGACAAGAGAAGAGAGAGTTTCTTCAGGGAAACTCCCCTTTATAAAACCATCAGCTCTCATGAGACTTTTTCACTATCGTGAGAATAGCACAGCAAAGACCCACCCCCATGATTCAATTACCTCCCACTGGGTCCCTCCCACAACATGTGGGAATTATGGGAGCTATAATTCTAAATGAGATTGTGGTGGGACACAGCCAAACCAAGGTATTGAGAATGATACTCAGACGTAGAGGAAGAGTTCAGGTTTTCTTTGTTGATTGTTTTAAATCGTAAAACGAAATTGCTACTCAACTTAAAAAGAAAAACTGCAGAGACACATTAGAAACAAAAAGATTATTCTTCTCCCATTTCTGTACTAAACAATGTTAGTAGTGTGATGTAACTTTTTTCTCTCATATATTTGTGTATTTGTTGAATTTTTTTTGGTTTCAGTTTTAAACTTGTTGAATTTGAATTGCTTCTAGAATTTGCCAGTGAATACATCAAGTAGAAAGTTAGACATATGGGTCTGAAATTCAGAAGGGAAGTATATGCTGGGTGTGTAAATTAGACATGTGAGTCTAAAACTCAGAAGGGAAGCATGTCCTGGGTTTATAAATTTGGCTGTGTAAATATTACCTATGCCATGAAGATACATAAGAGTGCCTGGGAGAAAGTGTTGAATCACAAAGAAGAAAGTCCTGAGGAAGTCCAAGCTTTAACAGATGAGGGAAGAAGAAGTCACAGAGACAGGGAGAAACCAGGAGAGTAAGCTGTCATACAAACCAAGAGAGCAACAAGTGTAGCAAGGAAGTCAATTAGAGTAAGCAGCAAAGATATTATTAATAACATTAGAGGGTCACATCAGTGGACTGATTGGGACCAGTGCCAAATACATATGAGTTTAGGAGTAAACAGGAGATTAATAAGTGGTGTCAAATAAAAAATTGCACCTGACAAAGTTAAACAGGTAAGGAAGATACTATTCAAGGCTATTGCAATAGAGGAGACAGCACACTTAATCTGACCTCAACTCCACTGAAACAAAGTTCAGGAGAGTTTTTCAGTATTCAAGTAGGAGAGAGAACACACTTCTTTGTGTTTGCTCATCAGCTTTACCCAAAGGAAGAGTAAACTTTCTCATATCTTTGTGACAGAAAGAAGGTTTACATCCTGGCACAAGGCTGAGGTTGAGCTCCTACCCTCCCACAAAGCCTGGAAGATAGTGGCGCTATCTTCTCCATGATTACCAGATTGTAAAACTAACAGGAGGCTCTTAGAAAGATTTACATCTGAAAGGGATAGAGAAAGAATTTACAATACAGATTTTCTGAAAGAATTGGTCTAGAAATAGAGAGGTCACAGTCTGGAGTCAGGAACAAGCCTATCCAAAGTTTATTCCAGCTGAGGGAAGCATTAAAGCTGTCTTGGTCACTAGACGCAGAAAGCACTAACTACCCTTTTGAGAAAATTGTCCAGAAATGGGAGGAGAGAGAATAACATAAGGGAAATGTGTTCTGGGGAACTGTATGTTTTTTTATGTGTTACGTTTAAAGAAGGTAGAATAGGTAAGTAGGAGAGAAAGAGAAGTGTTAAAGAAATTGGTCCATTTTTGCTACATTTTACTTAACTTTACCAAATTGGCCAATTTCACCTAAGAGCAAGAGGTAATGTTAGTAAGGAAAATCTCCTAAGAAGGCAGAGGGCATGGGAATCAGAGGATTTATAGAGGAAACAACCACTGATAAGAGGTGAAATAGCTCATTAACTACACTCAGGGTGTGCATACACGTGGGTTGGTAGATTCACTGGCAGGAATTAGAAGTGGTGTCTGAGGCCCAGCACAATGGCTCATGCCTGCAATCCCAGCTTTTAGAGAGGCAGAGGCAGGAGGTTAGCTTGAGCCCAGGAGTTCAAGTCCTGCCTGGGCAATATAGTGAGACACCATTGTCCACAAAAAGGAAAAAAAAGAAGTGGTGTCTGAGAACTTGTATTTTTTCAGTATAGTTACAGGCAAGGTCTTCTGCCCAGGGACTGTAGAGTCTAATGTAGTGGTCTGAGAACAATAAAGAAGATTTGAGAGTAAGAAGAGCAGATCAGAGAAGCTCAGATACATGGAGAGACCAGTTGAAGTGGCCACGTATGGATTTGGAGTAGTGAGTTTTATCCCCAGAGGTGTGATGTTTCTTCAGAAGCAATCTCCTTAAGAAGTCACAAAGAAGATGCATGGGGTATCCAAAGCTGGAATTATTTTGTGGAATATTTAGCAGGAATATTTAACAACAGATGAGAAAGACAAATATGACCTACTATCCATAAAAATATGACCTACTATCCATAAAAAGCTGTTACAGTACTATTATCTGACTACTTATACTGTTACAGAATGAATGCATTAAAAATAAGTGGATTTTTCTTTTTTAATTTAAATTGGTTTCCCCCCTTCCCAGGGAAATGATGAACATGAAGCTGGTGGCCTGAAAGGAAACAAGGTAATCAGATTTTATTTTTTTAGATGGAGTATTGCTCTGTTGCCCAGGCTGGAGTGCAGTGGTGTGATCTTTAGCTCACTGCAACCTCTGCCCACTGCGGGTTCAAGTGATTCTCCTGCCTCAGCCTCCCAAGTAGCTGGAATTACAGGCATGTGCCACCACTCCCAGATAATTTTTGTATTTTTAGTAGAGACAGAGTTTTACCACGTTGGCCAAGCTGGTCTTGAACTCCTGACCTCAGGCGATCCACCTGCCTCAGCCTCCCAAAGTTCTGGGATTACAGGCTTGAGCCACTGCACCCACTGGTAATCAGATTTTTAAAGTGAATAAAAGGGTACAGTATTTTGTACAGACTTATACATTCACATGTAGAGCCTGCCGCCCTCCACATGTGAATGTGTAAGTCTGTATAAAATACTGGGAGGGTATTTTGTATGGTCTCTGGGAGGATGTCCAGCCTGCAATGGGCAGGGACCTTTGCCTGCTTCCTGACCAGGCAGTAGGATTGGAATCTGCTTCAGAGACCAGCAAGGACTGCTGAGTAGCAGTTGGCTGCAAGAAAAGGAACATATCAAGGGGAAATTACTATAATAAGATAAATGAAATCAGGACACAAGATTTGGTTTGTAATTAAGTGTTTAATGAATCCATGTAGGTGGCAAAAATAATCTGAAGACCCCTTTGGCAAAATGCCTTAGGCCAAGATTCACTATTTTGTGTCTTCTTAAGTACCAAAACATAGGCTGTCCTGGCAACCTTTTTTGGTGGGGTTTTATACTGAACAGTAGTGGTTAGACCAAATATTTCAAAACAGTTTTAAAATTAAGACACTGATAAATTTCCATTGCATTCTCCTTGTCATTTGCAGGTTTAATTATCTTAGCTGTAAAGATAACAGATTCACTTTCCCTCTCAATAAGATGTTTCATTCCTGTTTGATTCTGAAATTGTAATGACCTCAGATTCCATTTGAATGTGCCATTGTCAGAAATAATAATACACATTAAATCTACAGGTAGAGATGAGTAGGTTTGAAAATACTCTGAGGGAATGTGGCTTGTGAGTGCTACCTCCACTTATTCACCCTGTAAAAATTCTCTTGATTGAGGGCAGGGGATTTCTATATGAATCCAAGAAAATATGACTTCGGTGCCTTATAAATCAGTGCAACCAATTCATTCAAAAAGTTGTACACCCATTAGCAGAAGTTACTGCTAAAAGATAGTCCAAGAGAAACTAGGAGCTTCTTATAGATTGATGATTGAAAATGAAATTTTCTGCTAAATAAATAAACAAAACTTTGACATTTTGAAAAAGACATCCAAAAATTGATTATACAGAAATAAGTCATTTGTGTGTGAAAAATTTTATTGCTAGTACATTAGCATTATTTCCAGTAACCTAGTGGCTAAGAGAAACCATATGCCACTATAACAAACACATCACATTTTAAGCAATGACTTCTGGACATAGGCAGGCTAAGGGGGAAAAAAGCTGCAAAGCTTGTCACATAGGACAGCTGAGCAACGAAGAGAGTTGTGACTTTTAAAGTATTTAAATGATGATTCATTTCTTGAAACAAAACAGCTGGATTCTGTTTTGCTGTGTTCATTAGGAAACATATGTTACTTAGAAATTCTTAAGACCTCACTGATGAGAAATTTGATTCTGTAAAACAGGTGTATTTCAAACTCTAAGGACCTTTTCTATTGTTCAAAATCTTTTCTAATTGCTTCAAAATTTTAAGTAGAATTAGGAAAAGCCAGTGGCATAACTATTCCTTCCTCTCACTCAAATAAATAACATAGAAGAGTCTACAGGGAACTTGATGCAGTACATGACATAAGTGGATACATGATTAATAGGAAATTGCCAATAAACAATGCATAAAATAAACAAAAATTATAGGTGGTAGTTCACACCTATAATCCCAGCACTTTGGGAGGCCAAGATAGGAAGAACACTTGAGCCCAGAAGTTAGACCAGCATGGGCAATATAGTGATACCCCATCCCTACAAAAAATAAAAATATTAGCTGGGCATGCTGGCAAACACCTGTAGTCCCAACTTCCCAGGGAGGCTGAGGCAAGAAGATCACCTGGAGCCAGGAGGTAGAGGCTGCAGTGAGCCATAATCACATCACTGCACTCCAGCCTGAGCAACAGAGCTAGACCTTGTCTCAAAACAACCAAACAAACACAAACATAAGCATAGCAGTTGCTGGAAGAGTGAAATCAACTCTTCCCATCCAAGTCTACTTACTATCCTTTCTGAACCAATACCTTAGTTCTTAAATTTTAAATGTAAGTCACAACAGTGAAAATGTAAAGTTCCATCAAGCTATTCTCAAATACTTTTGCTTGTACCTGTGGGGAACCCCAGTGCTTCTGAATCTTGGCTACACATTGGAATCACCTGGAAAGGTTTTAAAAACTACCCACACTCAGGCTCCAGCCACAGAGACTCTGATTTGGGGTGGGGCTCCTATCTCTATTATTTGAAAGTGTTTCAGATGATTATAATGCACAGCCAGGGCTAAGAACCACTGAGTAATAGGAAGAGCATGAGCTTTGGGACAAAAAATTGATTGTGGCATTAACAGCTAGGTCACCTTGGGAAAGCCACTTCATTTCTCTAAGCATCCATTTCCTCATTTGCACAATGGGCATAATTGTATCTACACAAAGATTTGATAGAAGGATTAAAATTAAATAAGAGGAAGTTACTCAAAAGCACAATAAAACGCATGTAAAGCCCTCACTAAAGATTTTCTATTTACCCACCTCAATCTTTCCTGCCCCTCATGAGGTCTCATTTAGCACTTTTTAGTATTAATTGTTCTCATTCTTAGCACCTGGTCTTGCTCATCTTTGTATATCCCACCATAATTTTGACAGAGAAGGTACTCAATTTGTGCTGTAGAATAAAAGATTTAATCAGGAGAATAATTAACATAAGGGATTCACCATTCCTTTATAATATGCTACTTCTCAATGCACTGACCAGCCAAATAGAAGTTCTTAAAGAGCCAGCCCTTCGGAACCCAACGGTACATTGAAGCACCAGAACAAGCACAAACAGCACTGGAATACACCCACCAATCACCCCTGGTTTAGCAGCCACATCCTGCTATGTGTATCAAGAACATTATGATATAGGGAGAACCACCAAGAAACACAACTTGCTATTAACAATAAATGGCCATGGAGACTATCCACATGACCAGTCTACCAGTGTGGAAATAATGGATAATCCCTGCTCTGTGGCTTGACTAGGACCCACAGGATGTGGTGTAGGGATAATGTATTTGCAAGTTACTTGAGGAGAATTGTTGCTTTATAGAGACAGTAGAACAAAGTGGCAGGATATTTAAGCACTCAGAGAAAATAGCAGGTGTCTTGTGCGGAAGACTGTTGGGGAAAAGGTGGAATCTCTATAGCACCAAGCCTTTCAAATAGCATCAAAAGTGTCAAACTGAAGGAGAGTCTTTTCTAGTGCAAAGTAAATTCGTCACTTGTGTTTCAATGCATATCTACAGTGATAAATGACTGAACATTCAATTTAAATATGAAATACTATAGGACAAGAATGAGTATTAAAGAAAAAAGAAAACAAATATGAAATATAAACCCACTAAGTGTCTAAGGTTCCAGTAGAAAATGCTTTTGCTTGCAGAATTTTATGAAGAAAGAGGTATCTAAGATGTCCTTTCAGCCCAATGTCATCCAAAGACTATGTGGAAAGATGGACCACAACCTCTTTTGTGTCCTTCATCTATATTTTCCAGGAGACCTATTTACATTTGTTCACCTATAGGGCAGCAATGAATATAATTACTCTTACTTTATTTTGTTGTTGTTGTTGTTGAGACGGAGTCTCACTCTGTCACCAGGCTGGAGTGCAGTGGCACAATCTCAGCTCACTGCAATCTCTGCCTCCCCCATTCAAGCAATTCCCCTGCCTCAGTCTCCTGAGTAGCTGGGACTACAGGCGTGCACCACCATGCCTGGCTAATTTTTTGTATTTTGGTAGAGATAGGGTTTCACTATGTTGGCCGGGATGGTCTCAATCTCCTGACCTCATGATCTGCCCACCCAGCCTCCCAAAGTGCTGTGATTCACAGGCGTGAGCCACTGCACCCGGCCTATAATTACTCTTATTTCTGTGTGTATGTTCTCCTACCCTTCCCCTTTGAAACTGGCAGATTTGATTTTTACAGGCAATTGCTAGACCCCTTCTCAGCCTTGTACTTTTATTTTATTGCACGAGTCTAACTGGTAGGCATATTTTTCCTTCACACCTATGCAATGGAGATTGTAGCACCTACCAGATAGGTAACATGAAGGTCACTCTGTACACCCTAATGCCTATACAAGGCTAATTGTTTATTTCCTTTCTCAAACCAACAACAATTGGTCCCTTAAATGTATCTCCCAACTTCTCCCTCTCCTTACCTTGAACATAATTTACTATATCTAAAAAAAATGACTTATCTTATAATGTGGTAAGAATAAGACTGATGATACACAGGATGTTTAGATACTATCGTAGAAAAAACAATACTTATGTAGCTTACTCGAATTAGGAAAAAGTCTGTATCCAGCACACTAAACTTTAAATTCATGGATACTGTTGCAAAAGACATATTGAATATTTAAATTTAAAATGTGAGTGCATTTAAAGAAAAAATAAGCTATGTATATATAGGTGGTGTGCAGACATAGCGAATATTATGCAGTTAGGATGTGGATGACTGAACTTTGGGAAACACTGCTCTAGAATATTTGCACTGACAAGTTTGCAAATTGGCTTCTTATCCATTTGGTTCCTTGGCTCTCCAACAGGGCCTTACTATTACTAGCTGAATGCCTAATGGTATAAAAAGCAGTGAATCATAAAAACAAACACTTCTTTCCTAGTATCAATTCTCACAGCACAAAACACCTCTTGTTTCTATGAACAATGTGTGAGAGTTTTTCACTCACAGCAAGCAAACAATCCCTGGTTATCCTCTAATTCCATTCACTTCACACTATTTAACCGGTGGTAGCAGCAGATCCCACAGATTGAGGGCTCAATCCCGCAAGACTGCCCTCTACTTCATATGCCAATCGAAAGCCCCATGTTATTTTATCTGTGCTTTTGATCAACTGGCTATAAATCAGGGTCTTCATGAGCCCCTCCTTGGTTTTGACTAATTTGCTGGAATGGCTCACAAAAGTCACGGAGACATTTGCTTACATTTACCAGTTTATTGTAAAGGATGTTACAAAGGTTACAGGTGAAGAAGTACATAAGGCAAGGTGTGTGGGAAGGGGTGCCAAGCTTCCAAGTTCCCAAGCCCTCCCTGGTCAGGCCACCTTCCAGGGACCTCTACAACTTCAGTTCTACAGAAGCTCTCTACACCCAGTCCTCGTGGTTTTTATGAAAGCTTCATTATGTAGGAATGATTGATTAAATGATTCATCATTGGTGACCAAGTTAACTTTCAGTCTATCTCCCTTCCCCAGAAGATGGAGGTGAGGCTGAAAAGACTCTAACCAAGCCTTGGCCCTTCAGGTGACCAGCCCAATGCTGAAGCTACCTAGGGGTTGCCAGCTACCAGTCAACTCATTAACAAACAAGAAGACACTTATTGCTTTGGGGATTCCAAGGATTTTATGAGTTGTATGCCAGGAAACTGGGATAAAGACCAAATATGTATTTTACAATATTGTTATCAAGCAGATGGGCTCACTGCTCAGTGTGTACCGAAGCCAATAACTATGGTACCAGCTTTTGAGAAAAGAAAGATTTTATTGCAAAACCAGCCAGCAAAGAGACGGGAGTCAGGCTTAAATTTGCCTCCCAGATTTAGGGATTGGGGCAAGTTTTAAGGGATCAGAGGGCAAGGGACAGGATTTAGAGATGTGGGTTTGTCAGGGTCTGATTGGACAGCTTCAAATTTGACCGTTTATGGTAAGGTATGTTGAGGTAGATTTTAGCCGTGGATATTCTGGGCCATTAGACCCCTTGCTCCTGAAAGAGTTCAGATTCTGGTCATGTTCTGGTCTTCTTAGTTCCACCTGAGGGAAGGATTTGTTGGTTCCAGCTGTTGTTATAGGTCAAAGCTTTTTCTGTTGTGCATGCCCAGGCTGCATGATTGCAGTTTTTCGCTCTGTTATACCTTAAAGGTAACTCGACGTTTTGTTATCAACAGAGGTAGGCTCTGTTTGGGCTGGTCCCACAGTTTTAAAATTTTAATAAAATTAAAATTAAATTTAACAAAATGTATCCCTTAAATCTAGAAGGCTAATGAATACAAACATGATACTGTCTATCCATTACAGAAAATCAAGGATATACATATAAAAAAATAAACTGAGATTTTTAGGTCTGTAATAAATTTGTATTTGAAGCACTTTTGGGTAGACTGTTTGAGGCTTCAAAATGAACAATCAGGCACATCCACACAGGGTCCAGGATTAGAGATGTTCACTGCAGCTTGTTTATAATAGAGAAAACCCAAGGGCCCATCATTGGGGCTGGGATAAACCCTGTTTTATTAACATGTTAGAATGCTACTCAGCTGTTACAATGAATGAATGAGATCATATGTATCAATAGAGATGTATATTAAAAACAACACTGAGTGGAAAAAACAAGTCATAGTATGCCATATATGAGATAAAGCTATTTATGGAATTTGTTTTAAATACTCAAAATAATATATTGTTTCTGATTCCACATATGCAGTAAAAGTACAATCATATAAACTGAAAATATAAATACTAAATTCTTGAGAGTGGCTCCCTCTGGGTAGAAATAGGACATATAGGGGATTTTGTCTTTGATTGTAAATTTTTAAATTTCTTTTATTTTGAGTACCTGATACATGAAGGCTCGATGGATTCTATTTTATATTTTCTGTGTTTATTGTTTCAAAGCAAAATAAAATAGACCACGTAAACAAAATGGTATATGTTTAGAAATGTAATGGTTAACATCATTTTGCAAAAATACTGTTGAGGTTGGGGAAAAAATCAGCATTACATATCTTCTAGAGACTATATTTAATTTAAGAATTGTGTAGGTATTCAGGGATCTTGGTAAACACTAAAGGATGCACAGTACTGAGACTCCTCTGAAGTCTGATTAGTGATATAACTCCTTTCTGTAAGTATTACTTCTCAAATTGTATTTTCCAAAAACCCTCTTTATATGTCACAAACAAATCTCTCTTCAGGTTTTTTGACCAGAACCTCTTAGACATTTCTAAGCTACTGCTGTCACCACATCTACAAGAATGACTTATTTGTCCATAGCCAAGCATCTAAGTAGTAGTATAAATGCTGGAAACAGCTGAGAGACTCATTTTACTTCATATGACTACTGACTCTGCCCACCTAAACAAAGAAAAAAGTGCCTGAAATAAAATGAGTCTGGATTATTGTGTCAGTTAAACAGTCTGATGTCTTTGAGAGCACACACAAAAAAAACTGGCTTTGGCACGTCAGAACAAAATTAAAATTTTTCTCCTCTAGATATTTTTTTCCTGAAAAAATAATTAACTTTGTTTCACATTAAATTTAAATATCATAATGAAATATATGGATTTCTGAGAGACATAAAGCCAATGTGAAGTACTGACAAACCCATTATCATGCAAATAGCCTAAGTAAATTCAGAAATTTGCATTCTCTGTTGGATGCTAATAGATAAATTGCATAGTTAGAAGGAGAGCAAGATATCATTCTCTATCTGCCAGTCACAATAATACTTCTCTAACCATCTGCAAAAATCTCTCTTCTGCTTTATCTTAAAAGGGTGAAACTGGACTTCCAGGATTTCCAGGGTCTGTTGGCCCTAAGGGACAAAAAGGAGAACCTGTAAGTATTTTAGCTTTGAGGACAGAGGAAGAGTATCTTAAAAATTGGATTAAAAATATTTTTCCAAATCAGCCCCAATTCCACATACCTTGGTTGATCCTGTCATGGTAAACAACAGATCAGATCTCCAAGCAAGTATTAGCTATGCTATGCACTAAGTCTTTTACATGTATTTATTCACTTAATCCATAAAAATGTTTGATAAGGTCAGCTATTATCACATTTCAAATGATGAAAGTAAGGCATAGAGAGGTTAAGTAACTTTGCCCAAAGTCACACAGTACTAAGCACTGGTGCTGTGAATCACACCTAGGTGAGCTGATTCTAGAACCTAAAGTTTAAAATCACAAAGCTCCTCTGGTATAACTAAACACTGCAACTAAAATAATAAAATTAATGTATCAAAAGACTAGTACAAACTTATCCAAAAGAAATTGGAAACATATCTTTCCGCTCAAACAGCTGTTCTTCTCAATGTACTTTCTGAACTTATTTTTCTTTCTTGATTTTTGTAAGATCAAAGTGGCTTTGCAACCACTTTGCAGTATTAGTGTGGCCAGTTTCTTTCAAAACATACTTCTTTTTGTGGGGAAAAAGATAAAAACCGTACAGTATCATTTATATTCAAATAGGACCACCTAAAGTGATGAAAGGCATTATGGATACAAAAAATGACCGTTTAATGCTGCTTTTGAAAAAGCAGTTTTCAAGAGTCAGTGAGAATCAGGCTTAACAAATGTTTCATCTTAAAAAAAAAAAAAAAAGTAATAGTCTTTTTCAACCACTTTACTCCTTTCTTTACCAGAGCGAATAAGGGAATTTGGTTTATCAGAGGATAAAACATGAAGAGGTCACTAAATTGCCTACGTGACAAACAGGCACATTATTTAAAGTATTCAGTGTTACAAAGCCAAATTTTCCCTATGCTTCAGCTTTAAAAAAATTAACAATGACAGTAATTTTTGCAGCTTTAGAATCAGTCAGTGGCCTATATACGCTAGTTCTTCTCTACCTTTGGGAGTCATGCTTGCCCTTAGTATTCAGTTCAATCCTTCATACACAACTACAGGATTTAGCAGTCTTTAATGAAGTTCTCCAGCTGAATATTTCCAATAATGTCTGGAAAAATCTCATGTCTCAGAAATCCAGCCTGGTACATGCCCCTGGTACCTGCTGACTCTCTAGATGCTCCCGGCTTGGAGGTTCCTCCTAGCATTTCTTAACTGCTTCTTTAGGTCTCCATTGTCTTCCCTCCAAACCTGAACACTGACACTCACCTTCTCTTAATTTCCACATGATGCCTGGATGACCCTGCAGTGAGATTTACAAAAATTTTACTGGAAAATCAAGGACTTTTAGAGCAGAAAGGAGAAACTTTCAGTGAGTTAGTGTAGTGCTTCTCAAATGTGAACACTTGAATCCCACTGATTCTAAGTCAGTAGGTTTGGAGTGGGGCCAGAGAATCTGTGTTTTTCATAAGCTCTCAGTAATGCTGATGCTATTGGTCCATGGTCCACACTTTAAGCAGTAAGGGTTGGAGGAGTTTATAGTTCCTAGGAGTGATAGGCCTTTTCTTCCCCCAGGGATTTCCTCTGCCCTTCTCTCCTATCTGTGATGTTCAAGGGCAGTCCATGTATCTCATGGGGACTGCCTTTAGCCCTGTTTTCCTTAACTAGAGCTTCTTTTCCTCCTAACTCTTCTCCATACCAGGTCCCTATTCATCCCTTAATTATTCCACCACCCCATACATCTTTCCTTGCCTCCTTTCCCACCCCCTACATTAAAACAACACAAATTTTACATTATTATGGAGAGTAGTTTAATTCTTTATGTTCTCAACCTTTCTATTCCAGAAGATGATGTAGACTTTACATTCCTTAATAATCAGAAGGCTCAAACACAAAAGTAGCATTCATTCAAAGGTGAATTCTGAACCACCAATCCCAAATGGTAACTAAAATGGCAAATTGTCCCCCACCGTAAGACATTCAGAATATGATTTGGTGTGTAACACGTCAGAGCTAAAATATACTTCAGATCATAAGGAAAGAGGGACTCTAAAAGTTTAAATGACTTTCCTGAAATAGTAGCCATTGGAGCGAGGACCAAATAGCAAGTATTTAGACAACTAGGCTCCCAGGTTTTTTTTTTCTTTTATAAACAGTTGCTTTAGTCAATGTGGCCACTAAACTTGACAGTGGCTATACATAAACAATGACATGAGCAGTGTCATATAAGCAAAAACAAGCAGGGAAATAAGAATATAAAGAGTTGATCTAATATATAGAAATTAGCCACTGTTAAGATATTTCATCATGTTGGGTAGATATGGGTTTGTAGTTGTCTCTTGGTATCTGTGGGGGGTTGGTTACAGGACTCTCAGAGAATACCAAAATCTGAAGATGCTCAAGTCTCTGATATAAAATGACCTACCCTTTGCATATCACCTATGCATTCTCCTGCATACTTCAAATTATTTCCAGATTACTTATAGTACATAATAAAATGCAAGTCCTATGTAAATTGTTGTTATACTATATTATTTTTAAAATTTATACTATTTTTATTGCTACATTGTTATTATTTTTTTTCAAATATATATGTGTATATTTTTTATTATTTTACTTATTTTATTTTATTTTATTTTTTATTATACTTTAAGTTCTGGGGTACATGTGAAGGAAGTGCAGGTCTGTTACATTGGTATATACGTGCCATGGTGGTTCGCCGCACCCATGAACCCATCATCTACATTAGGTATTTCTCCTAATGCTATCCCTCCCCTAGCTCCCCATCCTCCCAACAGGCCCTGATATGTGATGTTCCCCTCTTTGTGTCCATGTGTTCTCATTGTTCAATTCCCATTTATAAGTGAGAACATGTGGTGTCTGGTTTTCTATTCTTGTGTTAGTTTGCTGAGAATGAATGATTTCCAGTTTTATCTATGTCCCTACAAAGAACATGAATTCATCCTTTTTTATGGTTGCATAGTATTCCATGGTATATATGTGCCACATTTTCTTTATCCAGTCTATCATTGATGGGCCTTTCGGTTAGTTCCAGGTCTTTGCTATTGTGAATAGTGCCGCAACAAACATACGTGTGCATGTGTCTCCAGAGTAGAATTATTTATAATCATTTGGGTATATACCCAGTAATGGGATTGCTGGGTCAAATGTTATTTCTAATTCTAGATCCTTGAGGAGTCACCACACTGTCTTCCACAATGGTTGAACTAATTTACACTTCTACCAACAGTGTAAAAGCATTTCTGTTTCTCCACATCCTCTCCAGCATCTGTTGTTTTTGACTTTTTAACGATAGCCATTCTAACTGGCATGAGATGATATCTCATTCTGGTTTTTATTTGCATTTCTCTAATGCAATGATGAGCTTTTTTTCATATGTTTGTTGGCTGCATATATGTCTTCTTTTGAGAAGTGTCTGTTCATATCCTTCACCCACTTTTTGATGGAGTTGTTTTTTTCTTGTAAATTTGTTTAAGTTCTTTGTAGATTCTGGATATTAGCCATTCATCAGATTGATAGATGGCAAAAATTTTCTTTCATTCTGTAGGTTGCCTGTTCACTCTGGTGATAGTTTATTTTGCTGTGCAGAAGCTCTTTAGTTTAATTAAATCCACTTTGTCTATTTTGGCTTTTGTTACCATTGCTTTTGGTATTTTCATCATGAAGTCTTTGCCCAGGCCCATGTCCTGAATGGGATTGCCTAGGTTTTCTTCTAGGGTTTTCATGGTTTTAGGTCTTATGTTTAAGTCTTTAATCCATCTCAAGTTAATTTTTGTATAAAGTATAAGGAAAAGGTCCAGTTTCAGCTTTCTGCATATGGCTAGCCAGTTTTCCACAGAACTTACAGATATGCTTAACCTCTTCAAGTTATTTTCATTAAAGTAAAAATGAAAACTAGAAAACTATTTTTAAAATAATGATTTTGTATATTTAAACACACAACCTACTGGAAGAATTCAAATAAATGTCTTTACATTCAGTGTTTTTATCAGTTTCTTGCTGTCACTCCCTTTTCACATTCAATTAGATGTGTGTTTGTGATCATTTTCTATGTAAACCAGGCAATAGGAAGCTTTGGCCTTGGACAGCATTCCGATTTGTCAGCCACTTGGGATTTTATAAATGAAATTAGAATGATTAACTCATTGTTCATGTGGGACTATAAAGGAGTTTTAAATTATCATATACTTCCTTTAAGCTGCAAAGGCAGACTGTGTGACACTCTGGGTATTTTTAGAGGCCTGTTTGCAGTGGGGGTCTGAGTTTGGCCTGTAGGATTTATCCATACCACAGTTTGGAGAGTTTATTTCTAAGAGTGTTTATAATTGATTATATTTTCTACCCATTCTCCTTAGGGAGAACCTTTTACAAAAGGAGATAAAGGAGATAAAGTAAGTAAATGTTTTATCACTATCTTGGGTTTTCTACTTCATCGATTTGTTTCTCTCTGATTTTCTGGTATGTTTACTTTGGAGTCTAACAGATTTGATTAAATAAGGTCCACGAGATTTTACTTCTTCCTCTGTGATTTAAGTCTTTTATTTTGATAAATAAGAAATTTTAAGCCTTGTTAAGTATTGTCATGTGAGGAGATTTTAACATTGGTTTGAGTCTTCTAATACTTTCTTTAGCCAATTACTACTAATAATTGGACATGAATGTTATAAAGACATCCATGTAGGATATCACAAATATAATATTAAAATGAAAGATACTTTTTTTCCCTAAAATTCTGTTAATGGCACAAACTGGATGTATCAAATATATTAGTAAGCCACAGAAAATAAAAAAGCAAACTTGTTAACAAGCCAGTATCATCCTTTTTTGTATACTTTAATTTTGTTGTGGTTTTTTTTTTCATTAAGCACATATAACTAAAAGTAGAATCACCAACATATTACCTTAAATTCCACTTTCCCTCATTCCTTCTCTGAAGTTTTAATTCTCTGGGACATGAGATTAATTGGTGGCAAATTATAACTATGTCAGCTAAGTAGAGAATGCAGTGATTGCCAATGGGACATGATAATTACAGTGTCAAAGTGGCTTTGGGGGAAAAACTATTATAGCGAGGCAAGAAATTAGGAAAATATTGTTTATTTATTAGTAATAAGTATTTTGAAACATGTTTTAGAATGAACTCTCCTCGATTTCATTATGTCCTCCATAATTTCCCTTTTTATTGTATTTTAATTAGTAGAAATTCAATTAAAGTATCAGAGATGTCCATCTCCATCTGAATTTAAGCATTACCCTTACAATAATTATTTTATTTACAGGGAGAACCTGGGATAATAGGATCACAGGGAGTAAAGGTAATTTCCTGGCATTCTTCAATTTCATCTCCAACCTTAATGAGATTATAAAAATTAAAACAACATTCATCTTTCCTTTGCCTTACATGTTTAGGGTGAACCTGGAGATCCTGGTCCCCCTGGTTTAATAGGAAGCCCAGGACTAAAGGTATATAAGAAATAGCTAAGATTAATTGGGAAATAATTGGGGAATTATAGCCATTCTGTGTAAAACAAGGTACTTTGGTGTGCCACTCATTTTCTTCACAGATGCTCTCTGAGACTTTATCCTGTTTCCATGGTGATTTTCCTCCATTGGCTGCATTGATTACACACATAGTAACTGTCTTTTGGTTCACTATAGGATTTCTAAACTCTTTTTCAGAGCATATTCACAGTAGCATCCCTAAAAGCTGTAAGAGTAAACACTGTGAGCTAAATGACCTTCAGCTATATTCTTAAAAGGAACAGAATTCAAGATTCAGTTTCTAAACCAAAATTATGCAGCCTTGAGGTGCTTGAGTTTCCCAAGTGGGATTCTACATGAGTGTCTGAAGAAAGCAGCTTTTGGAAGATTCAGGAGAAATTAATGTGATGTGCTCCCAGACAAGGGGTAGGGCAAGTTATCCAATTACCACCTGCTCTTGAGAACAGATTCATTAAATAAAAACATCTGGAGACTATCTTGGTAAGCCCAAAGTACATTTCGGTATTGTACAGATAAAGTGGGATGGTGGAAAGTTGGTCTTCCTATAGGTAAGGATCACATTATGCTTTACAAACACTCAGGTACAATTTGTTTGCCTATTTTATTTTTTTAGCAAAGCTAAAGCTTATACTACTTTTTATTTTAGGGTCAGCAAGGATCTGCAGGCTCCATGGGACCCAGAGGACTTCCAGGAGATGTTGTATGTATAATGTTTTTGATATTTTTGAAATGAAATTAAGACTAGGACATGTTTTAGTAAAACATCAATATCTGTCCAAGTAACTGAGATCCCACATTTCCCAAAGATATGGGTCATCTATGCCACTAAAACTGATCATACCTAATATCAGGAGCTATTGGGAAGACTAGACCCTTCATATATTCGTGTGAGGTCCTTTTGAGTATTATTATCCTAATAAATTAGTTTTTGGAACTCAGGTTAATTAAATTATCATTTTGGACATGCTTCTCAATGCTGTACCAGCAGTAGAGAATATTGGAAATGTCAAAAGAAGAACACCGAAAGAGAAAGCAAACATTTTCAATATACATAGCTTTTATTTCAAGTCTCCTTCTAAGGAAGACGCTTCCAAAGCTCTATTGTTTTCTAGCCAAAGCCTTCCAAGAAAAGCAATGCTTTTAGCTGAAAATATGTCTGGAGGAAGATCGACAGATTGCATTATAACCCAGCTTTAGTGGATTTAAAATACTCAATGCACCCTTCTATTCATTATCTGCATCAGCTTTGTATTCCTTGAACAAGGCTTCCTAGTCTTCTGACAACTTGGGAGCTGAGAGTTCTCCAACAGTTCACACTTCAGCAAAATAAGAAAAGTCCTTTACCATAACTTATTGGAAACCGATCACTATCTGACCATGATTAGACTTCCCTTCAGGCCACTTTTAGGATCTCTCCTTTTTTCATGCCCCGACAATGGCCCCTTAACCTAACGTTCTATTCTCCATGCTCACTGCTTGAGTGTCTCCTATCTATTGGTCAGTGCACATATTCTGCTTGGTACTTTGAACACCCAGTTTATAAATCAAAGTTTTGTATCACTCACCTACGCCAGCTAATGGGCCACTGTAGATAAACCTAGTGGACAGATCTTATGAAAAGAGAGAGAATCCTGGTGGCACTGTAGAGCCACAGTCCTCAAAACTGAGATGAAGTGATAGTGGCTAGAGTTATAAAGAGAACAAAATCAAAAGAGAAAGAGCCATTGTTTCTAAACATAGTAAAAATACATTTTTCTAGTTACCCTAGAGTCCTCTGAATCATTAGGTGATGCACCATCCTTCCTCCATGGCAATAATATGGGTGAGACATTCGGTTCAACTTGACTTTAGTTTCTAACCCATGGCATCCAGGTGGCTTCACTTGAAACAACAAATCACGTAGAATCACTAAGATTTTTCCAAGTCTTAAAGGCCAAAATCAATCCAGCTCCTTGTATTAATAGGTTATACGTTAAAATTCCATTCTCTTGACAAAGATTCACAGATATAGGGAAATGTTATTATAAGAGATGTTCTCATTGCTATTTCTTATTAACTCTGAATTTTCTAGGGATTGCCAGGAGAACATGGTATCCCAGGAAAACAAGGCCTTAAAGGAGAAAAGGTATAGTTTACATTTTACTAATTTTATATGTTAAGTAGATAGGAGGAAAAGACAGAGGATCATAAGGAAAATGAAAGGACAGCTCAGGGCTTCTGGGATTGTGCAGGGGACAGACATTTATATTAATTACAATGTAATGACACCCCCTAGAGTTGGTTCTGGCACAGGAATGCCACGTGACAAAATGAACTAACTAAGAGATGAAGATATCAGGAGTCTGAAAGTCAAGCTCAGTTACCAATGCTGGTAAAACCCTAAGAAGTCTCTTAATCTTTCAAGGTCTGTTTCTTGATATCTACATGGAAACAGTGTATTAACATTGAACAATTATTGGGGAATAACTTAAAACAAACATAAAGATCATCTAGAGAATTTTATTAATAGATATGCCCTTTTGTGCATATACATATATATGTATATATAGACATGCATATGTTTCATGATACTGCTAACATAACTGCAAAATCTAAATGCACTGAAGAGTAGCAGGCATGAATTAAGTACTTAATAAATATTATTGAGTGAGTTGGTGAGTGAGTGAATCAAGTTTGACTGGTTATGATGACAACAATGGAAAACAATGGAAACCACTGCCTCCTTCTCACTTCCCACCATGAATCTGAGCATTAAAGTAAGAATCTTACCTTGTTTTTCACAGGGAGATCCAGGTGGGATCATAGGCCCTCCAGGACTTCCAGGTCCAAAAGGTGAGGCTGGTCCTCCAGGAAAAAGCCTGCCAGGGGAACCAGTAAGTATTAGCCCTTTTATTAATATTTTTCTTGCAAGTTCATTAATTACTACATGTGGGTTCCTAGTTTCAGATCACAAGTATGCGAATAAGTTTAGGTCTGCAAAAAAAGAAAAAAAAGAACTTAAAACAGAACTACCATTCGATCTAGCAATCCTATTACTGGGTTTCTTTTCCCAAAAGAAAATATATAGTTCTACCAAAAAGACGCATGCACTCATATGTTCATTGCAGCTCTATTCTCATAGTAATGACATGGAATCAGCGTAGCTACCCATCTACAGTGGAATGGAAAAAGAAAATGTGATACATGTAACCATGGAATACTATGCAGCCATACAAAGGACAAAATCATGTCCTTTGCAGCAATGTGGATACAGCTAGAGACCATTATCCTAAGCAAATTAATGCAGGAACAGAAAACCAAATACGCATGTTCTCACTTACAAGTGGGAGCTAAACATTGGTTGCATACCAACATAGACGTGAGACATGGGGGATGACTGATGGGGAGAGTGGAAGAGAGTCAAGGTTGAAAAACTGTCAGGCACTATGCTCACTTCCTTGGGTAACAGGATCATTCATACAATAAACCTCACAACATACAATTTACCCATGTAATAAACCTATACATGTACCCCTGAACCTAAAATAAAAGTGAGGAGAAAAAAATAAATATCCATCTATTCATCTTATTCTTTTTTTTTGTTTTATTTTTTTGAGACAGGGTCTTAATCTGTTCTCCCAGGCTAGAGTGCAGTGGTGCAATTATGGATCACTGCAGCCTTGACCTCTGCGATTCAAGTGATCCTCCCACCCCAGCCTCCTGAGTAGTGGAAACTATAGGTACACACCACTACACCTGGCTAATTTTTATATTTTTTATATAGTTGGGGTTTGAGCTCCAGTGATCTGCCAACTCGGCCTCCCAAATTGCTGGGATTATTGGCGCCTTATTCTTTAAATCAGATATAAAACCTCTTAAAAGTCTGATAAGCAAAGGGCTTTCTTCTGAAGAAACTATACATGCATGCAACATTTTGCATATTATTTTGGAAGATCCCTAGGCCCCCTGAATCCTAGTCATGGATTCTGTAGAGATCTATGAATCCCACTGAGGTACACTGGTTTTAAACCATAGACGTTCCTAGGGCAGTATTGCAAAACAGAAAAACTACCTGAAATTTCCCTTCAGGAGGTTTTGCAGGTATCACCATGGTTTGCCATTTGCAGAAAACGTCTTTGTGACCCAGGCTACTCCTAGGACATTGAAAACTGGACTGCTGGAAAATCTAAATAATCAATATTTTTATAATATGTTTTAGGTGCCTTTGTTTCTCATCTTTGAACTTTTGATGTTATTTAATAATATTTCTCAATATCAGATGCCTCATTTTAGAAATAAAAACCTTTTATATTTTAAAGCAACTATACAAAATCTATAACTTATTGAAATTTGTACTCCCTGTTCCTTATTCTTTTATAGAAAAAGATTTATTCAAGTGAGATGAAGAGTGATGAAACATATTTTAGTTGTAAATTCTAAGGTGTTTGTAACCTTTCTAGAAGAAGATATTAATATATTTTTTCTTTTAGGGATTGGATGGAAATCCTGGAGCACCTGGTCCACGTGGGCCAAAGGTATACAAATATTATAGTTAATTTTTAAGGAATTAATGATTAACAAAATTTAGTGGAAAAAAATTATGTCTCTTGAGCCTAGCACTAACAGAAGCTTCTCACTTCACAGGGTGAAAGAGGACTTCCAGGTGTTCAAGGTTCCCCAGGGGACACAGGCTCACCAGGGGTAGGAATTCCTGGCAGAACAGTAAGTGAAATTCGATCATGTCCTTGTTAATTCCAATATTATGAAATAAAATCCAGTGTCAAATTTTAACTAGGAGAAAAGAATAGAAAGGTCAGAGGAGGAAACACAAATACACACTATCCAGAGAAGATCGATGGGCATTAAGATTGTATCACTTAAGCACAGAGGCAGTACCCACCGTTTGTTTATTAACTTTCAGATGCTGCTCATACATACACTAAATTTGGATTAGAAGCAGTCACTTAACCCCTACACTTCCATTCTATATATTAAAAAGCACACATGAATGTTTGTAAGATGGTAAGAATGCCCAACATTAGGTCATTATACATTAAAGCTTGTTTCTAATTAAAACAAGAAGTTAATATTTAAAGTGGATGGAGTATGCCTAAGTGAAATGACACCAAAAAGGCCTAAGTAATGTCTTCAAAGTGAAGAGATGGTGTTTCCAATGGTGAAAACAAATAATAGGCAGTTTTAAAAGTATTTAAACTATAAGGACAGAGCCTAGAACAGTCCCTATTAATAATGACCACTATAACCACACTTGTAGACCAAATAACAATAAATTATAAAATTTTCATTTAATACAAAAAAAAAGATTTTTGAACAAGAAAAGTGGAAATAAATGGTTATTCTAATGACATTAATTTAGAAAACTGGCCTGTGGTATAATAGAAAAACTTTTTTCCTACTATGCTCTTAACATTCAACATAATACAATTCTGACACCAGATGTGTGGGGTTTTTTTCCCATCAATTCTCCAATGGATATCAACTGGATGTTCTATTAGGCAATTCATTTCTGATACTATCTACCTGGAGTTAGAGTCAGATCCCACAAAACTGACCCCTACTTCAGATGCCAACTGCATATCTGGTCCTTCATGACTTCTGTCCAGCCAGCTATAAGTTAGGAGTTCCTATGACCCCCACTTCAGGTTCTATAGTTTGCTGGAGTGGTTCACATAATCAACGAACACTTTCTTACATTTACTGGTTTACGATATCAGTAAAGGATATGATAAAGGGTACAGTTGAACAGTCAGAAGAAGAGATAGAAAGGGAGAGTCTGAAGGGTCCCTGAGTATAGGAGCTTCGGTCCCCGTGGAGTTGGGGTGAGTCACTATCCTGACATAAGTGTTTTTACCAGCCTGGAAGCTCTCTAAACCCCATATTTTGGGATTTTATAGAGGCTTCATCATGTCAGCAAGATTGATAATTAACTATATTTCCTGCCCCTCGCCCCTCTTCAGAGAATGTGGGGTGGGCTGAAAGGTCAAGCTTCTAACTGCAGCTTGCTCTTTTTGATAATCAGCTCCTATCCAGGAGCCCACTGAGAGTCACCTCATTAGGACAAAAAAAGTTCTCCTATCACCCAGAAAACCCAAGGGGTTAGGAACTCTGTGTCAGGAACCAAGGCCAAAAAACTAGTATTAGAACAAAAGTTATTCTTAGCAACCTACTTTTAAGGAATTGGTGAGGGTTTCAGGAGCTCTGTGCCAAGAACTGGGGGCAGAGACCAAATATTATTGAATCACAATATCATATCCTTATATTGAAGTTACCACAAAAAGTTAAAAGAAAACATAAGTAGTGAAGGGTTATGTTGTGTGTGATAGTTTTCTGATTTGCCAGGGCAAGAATGTAAAAGACCATTGGAGATGGAATTAAACAAAGTAAAAACTTGTATCAGAAAATTATTAGGGGCTGGACACGATGGCTCATGCCTGTAATCCAGCACCTTGGGAGGCCAAGGCAGGCGGAACACTTGAGGTCAGGAGTTTGAGACCAGCCTGGCCAACATGATGAAGCCCCATCTCTACTAAAAATACAAAAATTAGCCAAGCATGATGCCTGTAATCCCACCTACTCAGGAGATGGAGGTAGGAGAATCGCTTGAACCCAGGAGGCAAAGGTTGCAGTGGGCCGAGATTGTGCCACTGCACTCCAGTCTGATGACAGAGTGAAATTCCATCTCAAAAAAAGAAAAAGAAAGAAAATAAAATTATTAGGGAGGTGATGGTGGTTGAAGAAAAAAAATCACTCAGGGACACAGGATAAATAGAAAGGGAGCAAAAGTAGCTTTGACAAGAGCAATGATATGAATCTTTATTTTTTTTAAATAAGAAAGGCAAAGGCAATGAGCAGTTACTCCAGTCAATTGCTAGAAACCAGCTCTTGACTTACTTAGATTGCAAATGCCTTATAGAAAAGTTCATGGTTACATAAGAGTGGTACAACTAACATCATTAAGTTCCCCAAAAATCTCCCAGCCTCATTTTATTTATCTGAAATTCTAATTTTCTAGAAGTAGAAAAAATAATTGATTAATATTTTACTTCCTACTCCTGTCACCAAACACTGGTTCTGGCAATTTCTTTCAAGAGATAACTAACTCCAAGTAAAAAGCAGAAAATAAAAGAAGCCCCAGGCCAGTTATGCCTGTGGGCGGTCAGTTTCTGACAGATGGAATTTGGATGCATTCTTTGTGCCCTCATGAATGTGCAGTGACAGATTATGGTAATGAGATAGATGTCCCAGGTTTATGAGCAAAATCATGTTGATGTTTCCAGCAACAGGTATCTGATTAAGCATTCACCTATGACCTGAAAGTCTTGGCCGACTTTGCAGTTTTCCATGTGTGACTGGTGGCAAACCCTGTTGTTCCTCTAAGTACATTATAGTGCTTAGTCTTTTATCTCACTTAGATAATTTTGATAATAAAATCTCATTTTACTCAGGGCTCCCAAGGACCAGCTGGAGAGCCAGGTATTCAGGTAAGCTACTTAACTAATTTTTTAGCACAGAAAAGCCAGCTTGCTTACTTGGGGGAAATGACTGAAAGAACTATCCTCATAAGTAACTTTTTATTTCCCACATTTTCCAGGGTCCTCGAGGTCTTCCTGGGTTGCCAGGAACTCCAGGGACTCCGGGAAATCATGTAAGGACTTTCTTTATCTAACCTCCCCCATTTTCATCTGCACCTGTGCCAACATGCAAAGATTGAACATGGATGCCTCTGTTTTCAGGGAGCTCCAGGGAGGGATGGAAAGCCAGGCCTGCCAGGCCCCCCAGGTGACCCGGTATGTAGACAGAACTTGTCTGATTTATGTATCTTAAATGCACTCCGAAGCCAAACAGCCTACCAAGCAAGTTTTGCTGTCCGAACTAATTAGAATGCTTGGTGACTGCTTGGTGATTTTGTTTATCCCCATTATTTTGTTGAAAAAAAAAAAATTCAGGCTGGGTCATCGTTTCTGTGTGTGTGATGAATACTTATTTCCTAAGGGTATAATTCAACTGTACAATTTTGCCCCAGGCTGAGCCTTGGCATATAATGTCTTAATCCCATTGAAAAATGAGATAAAATATATCGCCATAATTTCTATGCTTTCTAATGCTAGTGGCTAAATGAATTTCATTTTTCTAAATGAAATTTTACAGGTAAGTTACCTACAATATGGTACAGAACCATTGATTGTATACCTGTAAAATGTTGTAATGATTAAATTATGAAAACTGGCTTGAGTAGGCTCTTAAAAAATGAGTTTAGGCACTAAATGTGTGTTCCGAAGTTTTATTTTAGGTTAAACCATGTTTTGAGCAATAGTGAAATTCCTTTAAAAAGCTTCAGACTCGGCAGTTATAATTTGAGAGGCCATATGGTACATGACATTGTATTAAGAATCTTGTATAATAAAATCCAAATCTGGCTTCTCAGTTCTAAGCTTCACAAATACTTTCTGCCTCCCACAGTGTTTGGGCCTTATGTGCCTTTATAAGCTATGCACAGAAGCATATTTTGGCATTACTTTAATGCCACTGTTGAGTGAATCACTAGTGCATTTTTTCTGGGAATCTTTCAGAGTGTTACTTGATTTTACACAATGTCTCTCTGAAAGAACATCTTAAGACATGTGGCCAAAATGTGACCCAAGTTCCTTCAGTGTTTGTCTTACCTATCACTTAAACCAGCTGTAGGTTCTTTCGAACTTTCATGAGAAATAACTTTAAGGCAAACTTATGTAGTACTTTTCATATTTCTCAACAGCCTGATAATGTGTTTTCCAGAGGAGTGATTACCTTTTAATAAATAATTTATCTTTATGTATTATTTAAAACCAATAATATACTAGGGATGGCATAAAGGTTGCCATGAAAATATAAAATACAGATGCACAGTCAAAACTATGATATGTGTGTTTGCACATTCATGAGAAAACAATAGTGAATATTTTTCAAAAATTGTTCTGAATTCTGTCAGTGCCATGTGTACATTTCTTGATATGGAACATAACATAAAGCCAACGATTCTGAAGTGAGACACTAGGAGCCACATGGCATTTTAAGGAAAAATATCTACATTGTACTGTATGTTTATATTGTATTTTATTCATATATAAATACATATATTTTATTTTATCTTCTTAACCACAGATTGCACTTCCTCTCTTAGGAGACATCGGTGCTTTGCTCAAGGTACTCTGTTGCTGCGTAAGAAATTACGTGTTAATTTCCAGGAAAAATAAGAAAGAAAATATTTAGCAGAAGTTGAGTCAATTGCTTAGCTGGAACTACAGTTCAACTCTTAAATGGCAGGACATCTTTAAGATAGGAAAATAAACATGTGTCTTTGTATATCTTGTGCCATTTATCCTAATCCTTTCACTCTCTTCTTTACCAGCCTCTCACTTTTGGTGGGGTAGGGATGGAGGGCAGGGGGTAGGATAGTTATGAATTGGCTACAAGGAAGGGCAATTAGCACCCTGGAGTAGATTATTCTCTCCTCTGGAGGAATATCTTTCACTTAATGGGTGTTGATCCACCCTGGCTGGTGAAACCTAAACCTTCTCACTGTATCTGTCATGGTCAGTCCCAAGATGAAAATCAGTGCTGCTCTATAAACAGCCATTTACAAGGCTGAATTTTGATGTCATGGGATTTTACAAAATTCCAGTCAACAACTGCCCTAACACCTGTTACTCTGTTCAATAAAAATCATCTCTACCTATTATCATCTCAGGAATTAATCTTGCTACCTTTTTGTTTTTTTTCCTCTAACACTTCCCTGTATTTTATCAGTAAAACAGACGGGGGGAATGATAATGGTATATATGCAAGGGTAGGTATTTGCATGTTTCTGCCTGGTATGCTAAATAAGATTGAGTGAGCCCACATGAAAATCAGGCCCATGACTTTATACTGAAACACTATGTGTCATATCTGTCTTTATATGAATGGACATTGTGTATGTGCACACACACACACACACACAGACTGTAGTTAGATATATATGATTTAGTTTGTATTTCTAGCATTTAGCTCAGTGATTTACACAATTATTTGCACAATAGTAAGCAGGCAAAAATATTTGTTTAATTGAATTCAAAAGACTTGAATTCTAGCATATACATTTGTAAGGTAATTGGAGTTTTGGGAATAGATACATAAATGTAAGTGTAAATATGAATATAAATATAAAATATATTAAAGGAATTTCTAAGACCTCCAAAAGACAGCAGTTTTTATAAACCAGAGAAGAATATTTGTGGGGATTTTAGGAAAATCTTATATTTATTCAGTTAAAATTACATCCCAGTCAATATGCCACTTTACTTACATCATCTCATTTAATTTCCATAATAATCTTATGAGTTCAGGCTGTTGCAGCATTCCTACTCTATAGATGAGAGACCTGAAGTTCTCAGCAGTTAAGCAACTTTTTCAGAGTCACAGAGCAAGTAAATATAACATTAACACAGAAACATAGGTCCTCAGGTATTAAGTCCTAGATTCTTTACAAGACAGTGGTGTTGGAAATAGGATTGCAGCAGTTCTATCATTTCAGAATACTTAGGGTTCCTTAAGGATGAGAGACTTGTATACTTTAGTAGAAATGAATACACTTGTAGAATATGGGATCTCACAGAACAAATAAAAGGACCATGAATAGGATGAATAGGCTCTGATAGGAAGCGGAACCAGTGTTCCTGGGCTCTCAGAAGTAGGAATCACCCCTCTAATCAATGTGCTCTGCTGTTGCTCCAGTCCCTGCATCATTTCACCCAGGTTCTGAGTCCATAGAGAACAGGATATCTTGACTGATAGTCTCTACAAACTGTATACAATAGAAGAAAATGGAGGCACATAGTTCCCCAAACAAAATCCAAATATAGGAATTTAGATTGTAGGTTGGATATGCCAGGCCAATGTAATAATATAATGCTAAATCCTGATCCTGTTACCCAGTACATTAACTCTGTCTCTCCCTGCCTTGATTCTTTAGCCAATTTGTTCATCCTGCTTTCTGTTTTCAAAAATTTTTTTGATTAAAAAGAACTGGTATAATGATAGGCCCCTTCAATGGCCATCTTCTAGATTAATCAGTATATCAATCCCTCTTTGAATGACATTGTGTATTGGTTAATAATTGATGCATCTTTATTCTTTTCATGAGAAAATCTTAAGACATTTTTCCAAGAATGTTAGTAAAACTCAGTTTAAAAAAAAAAAAAAACTTAATATTCTGGTAACCCAAAGAAAATGAAGTCAGTTTCAAATGTCTCTTAAAAATTATATTGGTAATAATGATTATCATTTTTCAATGTTTTACTAAGACATCAATTGAATAATCTATTCTGAAATGTTGCTCCATATTGATATGCCAAAGTTTTACACCATATTGAAATGTTTCTCTTTTGTTTCTCTTAAGTTCTCAAGTGTCCCTTTATCTTCGTAGTTTTTCAGATATCATCAGTAATAGTTCTATAAATATATATATTTAACTCCCCTACCAACACATTATCTCTGTCAAATAAGCCAGGTGGTAAAATTAGTCTGGGAAACATTGCACATAACTCTAGCTTCTTTTTATATATTCAGACTCTAAGAAAGACCACCATGAAGACAGCTGTTTAACCCATGATTTTTTAGATGATTTGCCTCGTGTATTTGTCAGGGTTCTCTAGAGGGTCAAAACGAATAGGATAGATGTATATATGAAAAAGTTTATTTTATTTTACTGTTTGTTCGTTTATAATTTTTATTGTACTTTAGGTTCTGTGGTACATGTGCAGATCATGCAGGATTGTTGCATAGGTACACACATGGCAATGTGGTTTGCTGCCTCCATCCCCCCGTCACCATATCTGGCATTTCTCCCTATGTTATCCTTCCCCAACCTCCCTACCCCTGCTGTCCCTCCTCTAGTCCCCCCCAACAGATCCCATGTGTGATGCTTCCCTCCCTGTGTCCATGTGTTCTCATTGCTCAACACCTGCCTATGAGTGAGAACATGTGGTGTTTGATTTTCTGTTCTTGTGTCAGTTTGCTGAGAATGATGGTTTCCAGATTCATCCATGTCCCTACAAAAGTCATGAACTCATCGTTTTTTATGGCTACATAGTATTCCATGGTGTATATATGCCACATTTTCCTTGTCCAGTCTATCATCAATGGGTATTTGGGTTGGTTCCGAGATCTTTGCTATTGTAAACAGTGCCGCAGTGAACATAGGTGTGCATGTGTCTTTATAATAGAACAATTTATAATCCTTTGGATATATACCCAGCAATGGGATTACTGGGTCCAGTGGAATTTCTATTTCTGGGTCCTTGAGGAATCACCACACTGTCTTCCACAATGGTTGAACTGGTTTATACTCCCACCAACAGTGTAAAAGCATTTCTATTTCTCCACATCCTCTCCAGCATCTGTTGTTTCCAGGTTTTTTAATGATCGCCATTCTAACTGGCTTGAGATGGTATCTCAATGTGGTTTTTATTTGCATCTCTCTAATGACCAGTGATGATGAGCATTTTTCATATGTTTATTACCTCATATATGTCTTCTTTTTATTTTTTTTGAGATGGAGTTTCACTCTTGTTACCCAGGCTGGAGTGCAATGGAGCGATCTCGGCTCACCGCAACCTCCGCCTCCTGGTTCAGGCAATTCTCCTGCCTCAGCCTCCTGAGTAGCTGGGATTACAGGCACACGCCACCGTGCCCAGCTAATTTTTTGTCTTTTTAGTAGAGATGGGGTTTCACCATGTTGACCAGGATGGTCTCGATCTCTTGACCTCGTGATCCACCCGCCTCGGCCTCCCAAAGTGCTGGGATTACAGGCATGAGCCACCGCGCCCAGCCATATGTCTTCTTTTGAAAAGTGTCTGTTAATGTCCTTCATCTACTTTTGAATGGGCTTGTTTGTTTTTTTCTTGTAAATCTGTTTTAGTTCTTTGTAGATTCTGGATATTAGCCCTTTGTCAGATGGGTAGATTGCAAAAACTTTTTCCCATTCTGTTGGTTGCTGATTTACTCTAATGATTGTTTCTTTTGCTGTACAGAAGCTCTGGAGTTTAATTAGATCCCATTTATCTATTTTGGCTTTTGTTGCCAATGCTTTGGATGTTTTAATCATGAAGTCCTCACCTATGCCTATGTCTTAAATGGTTTTGCCTAGGTTTTCTTCTAGGGTTTTTATGGTGTTAGGTCTTATGTTTAAGTCTTTAATCCATCTGGAGTTAATTCTAGTGTAAGGTGTCAGGAAGGGGTTCAGTTTCTGTTTTCAGCACATGGCTGGCCAGTTTTCCCAATACCATTTATTATACAGGGAATCATTGCCCCATTGCTTGTTTTTGTCAGGTTTGTGAAAGATCAGATGGTTGTAGATGTGTGGCGTTGCCTCCAAGGCCTGTGTTCTATTCCATTGGTGTATATCTTATCTTTGTTTTGGTACCAGTACAGTGCTGGAAGGGAGTTTATTAAGGAGAGTTGACTCACGTGATTACAATGTAAAGTCACATGATAGGCTGCCTGCAAGTTGAAGAGCAAGGAAGCCAGTAGTGGACCAGTCCAAGTCCCAAAACCTCAAAAGTGGGGAAGCTGACAGTGCAGTCTTCAGTCTGTGGCCAAAGGCTTGACAGCCCCTGGCAAACCACTAGTGTAAGTCCAAGAGTCCAAAGCTGAAGAACTTAGAGTCTTATGTTTTAGGGCAGGAAGCATCCAGCGCGGGAGAAAGATGAAAGCCAGAGACTCAGCAGGTCAACCCCTTCTTCTGCCTGCTTTATTCTAGCCTCACTGGCACCTGATTAGATTGTACCCACCCAGATTGAGGGTGGGTCTGCCTCTCCCAGTCCATCAACTCAAATGTTAATCTCCTTTGGCAACACCCTCACAGATACACTCAGGAACACTACTTTGCATCCTTTAATCCAGTCAAGTTGACACTCAATATTAACCCTCACACCTTGGAAGCTTTTCAGTATCATGCAGAATTAGTGTTCCAAGGAGCCTATTTTTGAAAAACAGATTTACACTGCTATTTATTAGGTCAAAAATATTGCACTTGAATGGCCATAGGCTTTCTTGCCGGCTTCTTATCAATGGCAAGCTTCACTTCCTTTTCATGTTTAAAGATTCTTCCCTTTAAAGAAAAGGATAGAATAGAAACTTAGGTTGTCCTACCTTCTGTCAACTGTTAACTGTCTCCCCCACTCAGTGGCCCTTATTCTCTTCCTTTCTTGGTCATATTCTTATTCCAACAATTTATTTAAAATAAGCCTATATAGAGCTTTTCACACACTCTTTCTTTAGCTGTGTGATGAGAGTTATGTTTATCTTATGAGCTCAGACACTTGAAGTCAAGCCTTCCCAAATTAGCTAAAGGTTACAGATAAGGCAATGGAAAGATAATTCCACTTAGATTTCCTATTGTCACTTGGATTTGACCTAGGAGTCAAGTCTAAGTCAGTCAAGTAATTATTTCTCTTGAGTGCCTCCACTGACAAAATATTGGTAAAATGTATGCAGTTGGAGAACTAATTTTGCTCCCAAAAGGACAAATCCTTTCTTCACAATTTTTGTTGTTTTTAAAATGATTTATGTTATAGGTTGTATGAATTCTGAAATCTTGCTAGGTTTTCTAAACTTTATTACCACTCCCTTTTAAAACGTTCTGCTAAACAATTGAACCACAGTTTTTGTTCTTGACTTATGTGTCTTTTCGTTATTTATTTGGAATTTTCTATTTAAGTATCATTGAAGACATGTTTTTAAAATAGAAAGCTCATCAATATCATAAACAGATATCACTGATGAGCTTTGTAAAGAGTTTTTACCTTACAAAAATTAATGTTTTTAAATGGGGTAAATTAAGTTTCTGAAAGCGGAGTGACCTAGCAATTGCTATATCACTCATCTCTGACAAAGGTTCCAAAAAAACTTCACATCACATAAAACCTCACTTTTATAGATGGCTATTATGACTCTCTCAGTAACCTTATCTTTATACTCATTAGAATTTCTGTGGCAACTGCCAAGCCAGTGTCCCAGGGCTGAAAAGCAACAAAGGAGAAGGAGGAGGCACTGGTGAGCCTGGAAAGTATGATTTCGTGACCCGGATGGTAAGAAACCTAGCTGAGTGTTTAGGAACCCTGTAGGTTACATGTTGTGCATCCACTCAGTTCTGTTCTTACTCTGTCCTGTAGGGTGATACAGGGCCACGGGGTCCTCCAGGAATCCCAGGCAGAGAGGGACCAAAGGTAAGGAATTCTCTCTTCCATTTTCCCCTGTGGGACCCTCAATTCAGTGTGAAAAAAGGAACCCCATTTAAAAATATACAACTTTTAAAATACATATGTGTGTGTGTGTGTGTGTGTATACATATATATATATATATATATATATATATATATATATATATATCGAGAGAGAGAGAGAAAGTGAGGTAAAAGCCACTTGCAAATGTTGCCATTTATTTGTTCCCTGACCCTGTCCAAATTACATGCCCCAAGTGTTCTTATAAAAGATTTTTTTTTTCATTTCCAAAAGATAAGAGAAAATGATTGCATGTGCTAGCTGAATGTATTGTCTTTTTAGGGAAGCAAAGGAGAGCGGGGCTACCCTGGGATACCTGGGGAGAAAGGCGATGAGGTAACAGATTCTTTCCTGATTATATAGTCCTAATATCGATTCTCTTTACATAGCTCAACAGAGTAAAAATGTTAATTTTTGTATTGCTCAGATATAATGCTAGAACCAATAAAAACAGAGACCACTTAGAGCTTTTAAGGCATGAAGTTAATATGTCAGTTACAAATTTTCTGTTTTCATTTAGCAGATAGCAATTCCAGCTCTCTCAAAACAAAAGTAAGGGAAAGGGGGAAAGAAAAATTTACTCAAAAGACTCCCAGGGTAACTAAGAGATTTAAAGGAATAGTTGGACAACCAGCCTAGAAGTAAGGGCAGCTCAAGAACCCAACAGAGCCTCCCTGGGTACCCCTAAACTATGATTCGGCTTCAGCGACCTTGGATTGTCTGTGTCTTTGCTCAGCTTTCAAATTCTTGGGAGAAAAAAACTATCAGAAGAATCTTATTGTTCTAGTTTACATCAGCTGCTCACCCTCTGGTTTAAGGTTCCAAGTCCAATGTGCTTTTGAGATAATAGTATAATTTTTTACTCTAAGCCATGGTGATGCTCAGGACATCATTTTTTCCTACATAATTCACATTAACTCTTAGAAAAACCAATTAGAATGATGAATTGCTGTTAGTTTAAACAGTTTTGAAACTAATAATTCTTAATGAAAGTAAGTAAGCCATCTGGCATATATTAACCTTGATGTTATTGTGGAAAATCATAACTGTATAAAAAAACCTATTTTTCTAGGTGGAGTTATATTTTACATTGCTAGTTATCATCCTGCATTATTGTTTCTAATTAATATTGCTTGTATTCTAGAAAACTTTGAGGTTTGATTTTTTCCAAAGTTAAAAATTGAATACCAATACCTACAATTTTTATTTTCATCCATAAATAAAACATAATCTTCAAAATAAGCTATTGTGGTTTTCCTTCCTCATGTTTAACAGAAAGTTTTACTAAAGTACAAGCATAATAACTGATTTTAATAGTCCAACAGCTTTTAACTGCCTCCACTCAAAAGTAGGCTTTAAAGGCAATTGAGAAGGTAGTAACAAAAAGATGAGGAAATAATTGGAATTAGGTTTTTTATAAGTGACTCTAAGTTAAATTTACTAGAAGTACCCTGATTCTGCAGGGTACTTTGCTCTTTTGGTGAACTGAAATCCATTGTTAATATTCCTCCACACTTTAATGGGCTTTTTCTTTGGTACCCCTCATAAATTCTTTAACACAGTTCACAAATTTTGCGCAATACTTGTTACATGGGGAGTTCCAGCTAGTTCAGAAGATTATTTTCCATCGTTTCTTCATATCACATGAATAATATGAATAAATCTGAGGTAACCTATCGACTCATTTAGGCCTTGTAGAGGGAATAAGGTAGTGCAGCTTTTCTAAGAGATGGGAAATAATGAATATAATCTTGTCTTCTATTTGGTCTCAGATATTATTTGAAATTACAATTTGTTGATTTGTCAAAGTAAATAAAGCTTTGACCAAAAACATGTGAATTTCCAACTGACCAATAAACTATCCCATTTCAACATACAATATGAACATAAGATCTAATCTTATGAAATCTCAAATGTCTATTGTACTCTTAGTGGAAAAGATACAGAGAGATACCCTATCTCTTTAAGCCTTATAATTATTATGTCTTTAATCTGTTTGGGAAATGAGAGGGAGGAGTTGTCTGCTTGTTCATTACTCTTAGAAAAGCAACATTTTCTTCCACATTTTTCACAGATGTTGTTGCACAGCTCAAGGTAGCAACTTGGAAGATGCTAATAGAACACATGCTAACCTTTGATAGATTTCTGGCTTGAAATGCAAGTCTTTCTACAATATTTTAGGATAATAATTGATAAATTAGACATGAAAAGTATCATCAGTCAGATATTATAGCAACAGAAAATATTCTTGGTATCAACTGAGCTAGGACTTGCAAAATCAAAATATCAGAGAAGGGTAAGAACATAGCTCCAGTGATCTCCGAATATCTCTGCAATAAATTTTAATTTGTATTTTAGTTTGGCACTATATGTTAAATTAACTGGCCTACTCTTTAATATGTATTTGTCTTCTTTAATGACCATCTTGTCTTCTAAAATTATCTTATTGCCCTTTATGCATCCATAGTAACTTTTACTTTTACTACAGAATTTCAGCTTTTTCAGAGAAAGACTGCTGAGAATGATTTTTTATTTATGGACTGAGGTTTATTTTAAAGTTTAATGTGGTCATCAAAGGTTAATGAATCCCAAGCTTATAAATTAGACTACCTAAAAACTCACTCGGCATCTCTGGACTGATTCAGCGTTGAGACTAAAAGTAGCAAAAAAAGGAATATATATATATATACATATATATATGTATATATATATATTTTTAATGAATGTACATGTAGAAAGAATTTTATGGAAATATGGGTATTTTGAGATAAAGAATTTCTGGTATAACAGTTATAATCTCGATAAATAATTTCTGGTATAACAGTTATAATCGCCCGTCATTTAGAAGTGCCATTACCAATGGAAATGTTTTTTACTTTGCATTTATAAACCTGTATAAAAGTTAATTTTAGGGGAATAAAAAGAATGAGTACCACATACCGATATGTACAGCCTGCACATGCACACATGTCCATACACACACACACACACATACACAGTACTGCCAATGAGATAAAATAATTTTGGAGAAAAAGTATGTCAACATTCCTTAACACAAACACACACAAGATTTTGCCCAAGACTTATGACATGAGGAATTCTAACATGTTTGAATAAAATTTTTAAGCATTTCTTCACATCATGTCACATGAATAAACCTGAAGTAACAAATGATGCCATTTGGCTTTGAATAGACAAACCTGGAAGAACTTAGACCTTGATCCCACTGATTCAAAGAAACTTGATCCAGCTCACAATCCTATAGAATGCTCATAATCAATATGCAGTAACATTTCCATGGTCACATAATCTAATATTTACAAAATATTTGAAAATTCATATATCATAATAGTAAAAGGTAAAGGAATTGTATTATGACAAAGAATGGTATGGCAATATAAAAGGAATATTCGGTAAAGGAGACCAAATCCTGAAAGAGTGGAATCATTCAATCTAGAACTTGATGTATATCGCAGGGTTATCTGAAATAACAAAGGGGTACTTTAAAATATTTTTTCATTATAGAAGTGATCTCAGTTCACTATAGAAAATTGGAAAAAAACAAAAAAGCATTAAAAGATAAAATTTCCCCCTCTTCCCACTACCCAGGAAGGACTTCTGGTAATAATGTCATAGTCCACAACTGTATTAGTCCATTTTCACACTTCTATAAAGAACTTTCCTGAGACTGGTAGTTTACAAAGAAAGAGCTTTAATTGACTCACAGTTCTACATGTCTGGGAAGGCGTCAGAAAACTTACAATCATGGCAGAAAGTAAAGAGGAGTCAAGCACCTTCACAAGGCAGCAGGAGAGAGAGAGCAAAAGAGGAACTTCCAAACACTTATAAAACCATCAGATCTTCTGAGAACTTACCCACTATCATGAGAAGAGATTGGGGAAAACTGCCCTCATAATCCAATCACCTCCCTCCCTCTACATGTGGGGATTACAGTTTGAGATGAGATTTGGGTAGCGACACAGAGCCAGATTATATTAACAACACCTCACCTATAAATTCCAAAATGAAAGCCTCAGAAAACCCTGGAAATGTTTCATAAATTTGGCTTTGTTTCCCAAGCAAATTTTTTTTGGCAGCCCAATCTGGCCTCTCATGGAGCTTGTCTATTCCACTTTGTTAGAGTATCATGTTTTGCCACAGAAATATTTGTGTGTTTATTAGAGGGTATGGCTTCAGGCACCACTGGCAGTGTTACATAATGTTTAGTGTGTATATCATGTTACCTATGAAATGAAGTATATCATATTATCTATGAAATTCTGCCAGACCAGAAAGCAGTCTGTGATTAAGCTAGTCTGTTTGAAATAGTAATTGCATATAAAAGAGGATTCTATTTTTTATTTATAATTTTTTGGCACTAAAAATTTATATTTTTGAAATTTAAAAGTTTCTGATAAAACTTTTATCTATTTGTTGTGGTAAAATAATAAAAGTCTGTATGTATCATTCCCATCTTTTAGGAAGTACATTTACAATTGTTTAAAAATTTAGACCCTGTGCTACAAATCTTATAAGTTTTGTGACTTTTATTTTTGCATGTTATCTAACTTTTCTAAAACATAATTTTACTAATTGCAAAATATTTCTTGAAAAAGGCAAAAGATTTATGCTATCTGAAGATAAACCAGAATATTCATATTACTTATTTAACAATATTCTGTTGTTGGCAAATGTATCAAAGTAACAAAACTACCTAAGTGAGCTAATCTTGCCAGTTCTTCCTTAATATATAAATGTATCAGCATCTTAAATCCTATCCAGTATAATTAGTGCTATTCTACAAATCTAAGGAGAGGAGGGAGGAGAAATCTATTCATTATTATGCTTAAGCCATTAAAGGGTTCCAAGTTTAAATTAACCAATGAGCCAAATTTCTTCTTATAATAAACTGATGAGCTAAAATAAATATTATATCATAAAACATATTCCATTTTTCCCTAGCTGAATGAAGCTTCAGTGTAATCATATATTTCTTCGATGACATTCTGCCAATCTAAAATTTGTATTTCCATGTTTTACCAGTACAAGATTCTTAGATACTACTGCTGACGGAATGGCTCTGTAAAATCAGAAATTCTCTATGAATCACCAGATTAAATTATGTTTGCTTCAGATTCCATGTCATGGCATTTTAGCTCACTCTTCTTACTCCTTAAAGCTGAGTATTTGCACATATTCTTACTTATAAGTGGGGGCTAAACTATTAGTACACAAAGGCATACAGAGTGATATAATGGATGTTGGAGCCCCCAAAGCAGTGAGGATACAAGAGGGGTGAAGGGTGAAAAACTACCTGTTGGGTACAGTGTACACTACTTGGGTGATGGGTGCACCAAAATTGAGGACTTCACCATTCTACAAATTATCCACATGACCAAAAATCACTTGCACCCCTAAAGAAAAATTAATATTTTTGAAATTTAAAAACTAGGAAAAAAAGGGTATTTGATTTGTATATGATATACATTATGTTTCTCAGTTAGCCAAATATGTGTTTAATGTTCAGTGGTCAAAGTATTTGATTAACTAAAATGCCTTCTTCCCAATGATAGATTTTATGGTAGGAACTATCTTTTCCAGGGTCTTCAAGGAATTCCAGGCATTCCAGGTGCTCCAGGCCTGACTGGACCCCCTGTAAGTATTTGTTAACACAATTCTACTCACAGGTCATATCTGCTGAGACAATGACAGGTGAATTAATTTTCCTCATTGCCTTTCATTTTCTGTGCCTCTATGTAGATTGTCCAGCTATTGCCTAGACAAGTACCCTCATCCAAGCTCTCAGATTTTCATTTAGTATTACTTAACGCTGCTCAGTATCCTGGGTACTTGCAGCAAAATTCCACCAAACCGGAAAGCAGTCTGTTATTAAGCTAGTCTGTTTGAAATAGAAATCGCATATAAAAGAGAATTCTATTTTTTATATATAATTTTTTGGCACTAATCTTGAGAAGAGATAGTCAAATGGCACCACAAACTGAGAATTTATTTTCTAAAGGAAAAAAAGTGTGCTAAGGATTATCAGATTTAATTTATTTTTATTCCTATGTACAAATTAAAATACCTCTGTTTTAGTCGAGACTTTTACTGCCCCTCAAACACACCATCAAGGCCTTTGTGTCTTTCACTGTCTTGTTTTCCTAGAACAGAATCTCTTTTCCTTTTGCCATACCCAATCTCTCATTCAAACAGAGTTTAATTCTAGAGTTGCCAGATAAAATACAGTGCATGCAGTTAAATTTGAATTTCCGATAAACAAATAATTGTTTAGTATAAGCTCATCCCAAATATTGTGTTTTTATTTGCTAACTCTGGCAACAAACACATGCTTCAATTTCTCTACCTCATTTTTTCTTAGAGTTCCTATGCTGATAGAGTCTTTACTACACCAATAAAAATGAAATTATATTTTTTAATGTTTTGAAATACGGATTTGCTATAATTAAAATTGTGTCATGTATGCTTTCACCACAGTTATATAGAACAAACCTGGCTTTAAATTGTACCCTAAAATTAAAAGCAATGTAAAAGAGTTGTGAAAGAAATCATGAAAATTATAGCTGACTCTGTTCCCCAAGGATTAAAATTAAATTTTATTTTCAGTGGTAAAATGCAGATCACATAACTCAATATGCACACTGTTAATTCTGCTGTCTTGAAGTATTTAAAATGGTGATCCTTACCAAAACTATAGCTCATTTAGGAAGGCATAATGTTATGTAAATTGCCATTTAAACAGCAAGCAAGATTAGATTCTTAAATGTATCAAAGGTTCCAATTAAGGTCCTTAAATGTGGTTGACCAAGGTAAAAAAGCTACCACAAATACAAATTTTACCCTTCCAAGGGCGTATCAGCAGGATACAGCTGCTGTATCGGCCAGAAGAAATACAAGCTTTTAGGGCTTATTTAATTAGGATCAAATGACCTTCAAAATGTTTAAGTTTTAGTAACCAACTTCCAATACCCTTTGGCCATTTAATTGTTGTTTCTGTAACAAACTTAGTTTTGTGTTTTACAGGGCTTATTGGGAAGAACTGGACATCCTGGTCCCACAGGAGCAAAAGGTGAAAAGGTACAAAGGAAAAGCCTCACTTACCATCCAAACTGGGGCTTGGGGTGGGAGCAGGATGAGACTCTTCACAGAGAGAGCCATAAAATCAAGCAAAGCCTGAAAGCAGAAATGATGGCAGGGAATAGCTATTTTTGTAGTGAACTTAGAAGAACAAGGTCCAAAGGTTGTTCTAAACACAGGAGATATTTTCCTAGGAAAAAGGATAAATAGAACATTGGTGCCATATAACAAAAGTCGAGGCTGGATTCAGGTTCCTGGGCAACCATCTATGTGGAAGGATGGGGTCGGGGGAGCCTCCTGAAAGGATGCAAGTAATGCAGTGTGTACCAGGGAGCTACACCCACAGGAGCTATCAGTTTTCTATGACAAAATACCGTAGTTGGAGTGGCCTATAAACAACAAATATTTATGCATATTTCTCACAGTTCTGGAGTGTGGGAAGTCCAAGATTAAGGTGCTGGCAGAATCAGTGTCTGATAGTCTGCTTTCTTGTTCATAGATGGCACCTACTAGCTGTGTCCTCACATAGTAGAAGGGTGACCAAGCTCCCTTGGGCCTCCTTTATAAGGGCACTAATCCTTTTCATGAAGGCTCCACCCTCATCACCTAATAACCGCCCAAAGACCCCACCAAAAGCTCCAGACAGCAGGCTAGCTCTCAGGACCAAGATTCCAGTAACTAAAGAGCTTGCCAAGCAGTCTAGAAGTTCTGTTCCTGGACAGTCATGGGGAAAATTCACTGAAGAACCAGGGTAGCTTATTTCCTGGGAGATCAGTTACTTGGACAGATGGGTTGCTGTGGTCAGAAAGGAGGAACAGCAATAGAAGAGTCTCAGAGAGGACACCACCAGCTTCACATGTTTACCCTCTTTAGGATCTAAACTGGCCCTATTGCCCTAGTCCAGGCAGAGCCAGAAAATAAGTGAAATAAGCCTAGCTATTCAGATTAGGGAAATAAGAATCAAGAGTCCACATGTGCCACTCAAGCAGCTTCCACCCACTCACCAGGACACAAGTTCCTTGACCAACATGGAACATAATGACATCAAGGAGCAAATGAATCCCAACACATTTTAAAGAAAACCATGCCTTTATTCTAGATAGTCTCCACACATTTTTTTCTGATTTTATCCCAAGGAGCTTGCCCCACCCCTAGCCTTTTTTCTCTGTTCTCTATGGAAATAACTCATAGACTTGCCTTTGAAGTTAATGGGAATTCCACACTGAGATGAGCTTTGGGGCACAAATGAGAGTGAAGATATGACTTTTAATTGTGCCTGGGAAAAAAAGGTCAGTAGGCACATATTTTTCCTGATTTGTTGACTCATGAGAACTATGACATCATTCTTTGACGGACACTGCCAGTTGTCAGCAGAATATGACATGTCTTAGAGAGTTAGCCACCATCAAAGCAGTCTGGGAAAAGATACAATACGTTTCTTGTCACATATTCTCAGGCAGAAGCATTGCAAGAAAAACTTTACAGTTTATTTTTATTGATAAACATAAAAACAAAAGATTTTATGATACTTTCTTTTGTTACTAAAAAATGGGAGGGTATTGAAATGAAGTCCTTCATTACATTTATTGAAATGGACTAAAATCCCTCAAAATTCTTGGACATTGTGAGTAGAAATTTTACTCTATCTGAATTCTTTTTTAATTAACCATATCTTGCCATTTCCCCTGATATAGACAGACTTAAAAGATTTTATGAGGCTATTATTTTAAGAGAAAAGCAGAGTTATAGGAAGAACTGCTGTAAGACACCAGAGGGACTTCATTAGCTCTGCTTATTATGGACCAATAAACATCTATGGTTTGTAAAAATAAAAGCGAAATACATTTTTTCAACTTTCAACTTGAATTCATTTTCACAAATTCATTTTCAGTCTGCTTCTCCTGTAGGACTAAGACTGTTTAAATTGTACAGACCATTTGCTTTAAATAGTGCTATACCACAGTTACTTCTGTTCAGGGATATGTGTCTGACTTGGGTGTAAGTCAGATATTAATTTAGGAAATAGAAGATGAAGTTTCTCCTCCTGCAGACACAACAACACAGGTTATGATTTTTTACTTTGGTCAAATTATGTGGGTGTCCCCTCTGGGTCCCAAAAATGAAGGTGGTAGAAATGAGGCTCAAAGTGAGGGCTGACTCAGAGTCACAATCCCAGAGCCCACTGCCTGCTTGTAGAAGAGTTCCACATGGGGAGAGTTTCCTCAGCAGCACTGGAAGTCCAGGACATGATCACCTGTGTTGTCTGGCTCCATCTGAAAATAAGCTTCATTTCTAGAGCTGACACAGTGAAAATCCGAATGGGTATGGGAAAGGCATTTACCTTTCCTGCAGTGGGTAAAGGAGAGAGCCAAGCCAAGATGAATGAGAGAGCCAAGCTGAGTAAAACTGCAGGGCTGAAACAACATGGCAAGTCATACTGATTTCGGAAGATAGCTCTCTGATAAATTTCAGAAGATAGTTGTAAACCTGGGGCAGAAATGTCTCCACCGCTGATATTGGTCTATATATCCTTTGCAGGGCAGCGAGGGACCCCCTGGGAAACCTGGACCACCTGTGAGTGTTCTAGACTTAAAATTCATGTGTTTGCTTAAGATTTTTTATAACTCAGAAGTAAGACTACATTTAGATGTTTTCAAAGATAAAAGTCTTCCGAATTTTGTGTATAAATATAAATGATAGTCAATGTAAGCTAAAGAGACCTGATTTGTTCCCCCTTTGGCCCAGCCGCAATGTGCAATACTCAGATTTGCATACTGAGGGTCTCCCCATCTTGGATTTAGGAACCTGGGTTTGTGCTCCGACTCTCCACTTCCTGCCTCGGGGCCCCTGGGAAAATCATTTAACCTCAGCGTGCTTCATTCACAGAAAAGAGAAGGGCCAGAAAACATAGTTCCTTTCCGCTGATGTGAGTTGGTAGAAAATCTGATATTATGCTATATGTGTTCATTCCCATTCATGATGTCTGAGATGCAAGGAAACTCTATATTTATGTAGCGCCTAGTGAACAAAAACTACAAGAGCCATCGGTGTTTTTATTACTGTGACTGAGACAGATGCTCACTCGATCAGGGAAACTGGAGAGGAGAGGAGCCTCTTTCCGTGGCAAGTCTGCCCTCATGTGGGGCCACACTCGAATCGCAGCCGAACAAAGCTCAGGTTCACGCCAAACACCCTTTTCCACCCCACCTCTCTGGTGAGCCAAACTCACCAGAGAAAAGGCAGAATGGACTGTGACTTTCTAGAGACAATGAGGATTATTATCAGTCTGCATGCAGTTGCATGCTTTGTACACGTAAATGAAGAGATTAGCACTCTATTTCCTAAACTTGTTTTTTAAATCTGTTCATTTGTTACTGCCCTTTTCCTTTGACAAGAAAGCAGGACAGAAAGTATTTAGGTTCAAATCCTAAAATTCACTCCTTCCCCAGTAGGCAGAACAGCAAATATAACATGAGTTCATGAAAGAAACCTATAATTTTATAATGCACTTAAGATATCTTTGTCTTCCCTCTCAATTCTCCAAAACCATCCATTCTTCAAAACACAGATTAAATGTTGTCTTCTCTGGGAAACCTCCTTTGGAAATCTCAGATGGAAATATCTTTTGTCGCTCCAGGATGTAGCACACTAAAATATAGTAGACATTCAGTCACTGTCAGATGAATGAGTGAAATAATGAAGTAATAAATGGATGGAGCATTTTTCTTCCATTACTAGTGTTTTGAAGATGCATCCAAATTGTGTTCACAGAACACCACTGGCCACCATCATACAGAAACAATAAAACAGTGACTTCAACTCTGCAACTGACATGGGAGAATTGCAGAAAAGAAAAGGCAGATTTGATTATTGATTCTGTAGAAATGTTTAAAAAGAAAGACAAAAGATCCCAACTAAAATTTTCATATGCAAATTTTTTCTAAATGCTAAAATGTATGATTTTTTTAAACCATAGAATAACTTTTCCTTTAAGTGTTGGTTACTCTAGGACATGTCAACTTTTTTCAAGATGTTCTTATTCTCCTTTGTCCTAAAGAATCTATTTTTGTAGAAACATCCACACAGGTTTGTGGATAACATCATCTCCCCATTTACCTTAATTTTCTATTTGGTATGAAGAGACTGTGGAAAAAAATTACTTTTCAGTAGCCAAATTGTTCCCTATTCACATCTTCATCGGCACTACAGCATGATAGCCTGCAGGTCAGCAAGCTGTAAACAGTTAGTACAAATTGGCAATTCAGAAACTGAATTTTAATGAGCAAATATTTTCCTCCAAATGCGTTAGTGTCTCATCTGTCAAATCTGAACATTAATCAAACCCCAACTTAACGTGTCTTGTGTGTTCCAGGTGTAGCTCACACTTCCTTTTCATTTCTTTCCCTGCATTTCTTTTGGAAAAGCTAAAAATGGAAACATTGTATTATTTTACTTAAAGTATTAAACTCCCTTTCTAAAATAGAAAAAAATATAAAAATAAAAAACAGAATAGGAATAGTCTCATTTGGTAAAATGATAAAATGTAGAGGTGCAAAGTATTAACTGACAAGAATAATTCTGTATCTTACTTCTTTCCTAAGGGTATTCCATTCAATGAAGGAAATGGCATGAGCAGTTTATATAAAATTCAGGTATGTTATATTTGTAATTACTTAAAATCATTTTCCAGTTGTAGACTGCTGTAAATTCTTCTCATCGTTCTCTTTTTCTTTTCTTTTCATTTTCTTTTGAAGGGAGGTGTGAATGTTCCCAGTTACCCAGGGCCACCTGGTCCTCCTGTAAGTACAGTTGTTTATCACCAAACACACTTTAGCTGAGCAATCACAATGAAAAATAAACAATAAAAAACCCCTAAGCTCACTGAAAAATGCATGTTGCAAATGAAGCCAAATTGTACAGCAGAAGGAAATAAGTATAACCAATTTTTTAAAAATTGAGCAAATGTATGCAGCCAAAATAATGGAAAATAGCACTTTTCATAGTGCTGTTATTTTTTTCAAAAAACTAAATCAATGTCCAAGCAATCACTTTTATGAAATTTCCATCAAGTTATATTTATTCATCTTATTCTTCAAATTCAAACTGTAATTAAAGTAAAACTTGCTAATATTTTTACGTGTATTCAAGCAAATTGGACAACGGTGTTTCTTATTCTGTAACTTTGCTTTGGTCATTATTTGAAAAATGACTTTCCATGTTTCTCTTACAGGGCCCAAAAGGCGATCCTGGCCCAGTGGTATGAATGAATGTTCCCATGTTTTGTGTCATTTAGAATATTGTTCTTTGTTAAAGTTTGAAAGAAAGGCATCAGGCAAAATGGCCTGCCTTCTTAGGTGTTCATCAGTTAACATGTTGGAGGTGACAAGCAGGCCACAAAAGGAATGCCAGCAATGTGTTCTCTGTTTCTAAGATGCATTAGTTCTGATGTTCTCACTGCCCTTGAGGTTCGTCTCTTTCCATCAGTGTGTTTTTAAAATCATCTTGTGATGGAGGAAGGCACATATAAAGCTCTAATAAATGGGACACTTTCTTCTAATAGCCCTCTTCTGATGATTGATTCAATTTTAAGTAGATTGTGGAAAAGAAATACTTACTGGAAAGAAATCCCTTAATATATCTGCCATCTCCCCAACAAAAATAGGAAGGAGCTGTTTATTTGCTTTAAACATCTAAGGCAATTATTCTGCAGGAGATGTATTTTGTCATAAACCTGCTTATTAGGAGGAATGTATCAGGTGGTTACACTCAGCACAGAAGGAGATCATGTCCTCCAGCCGCCTGAAGGACAATAATTGTTCTCAGCATCTTTCTCAACCATGGAGCCTCACTGTAAAAGTTCTGCCAAATTCAATTAGATGCCCTTTATTGCTGGGCATTTTTTTCTGTCATGTCCTTTTCAAGCATATGTTCCATCCTTCATGTTTCATTTGTATATCTTTTAACCTTTGGGGATATACTTGAAACTCAAATATACCTAAAGCTGAAATAAATTTTTAAACTACATTCCATTGTCATGTGAAAAAAAATGTAAAGCCCTTTCATTATAGTACAGTTTGTTAAAACTCAGTGAATACATTTTAAACCAGCAAAGGGACAAGCCATATCAAGTAATGTTTTTATGTCTAAAAACATATTTTAAAGAGATGCATTTAAAGAACTGTTTGTTTTTGTTATTGGGCAATATATAATAAAAGCCAAATTATGGTCCTTGAAAGCATTATTTTAACTAGTAAGGATCATATTCTGAACCCCATTTTAATTCAGAGTTTCCTTTATTTTATTATTTGTGCTACGTAAGCTGCATTCTAATTTTAATTTTCTTACATCCTGTTGATAAAAATTTCCTCCTGGTTTTTCCCTCTCATATTCATGCACAGAAAACAGCTTCTCTGAATCATTTAAGAGCATCTAAGTTTCTTACTGACTTTTTTGGAACTCTCTTTGAAGTTCTTGCTTTAATAACTTCAGATTAAGGAAATAACTTTTTAAGTATTATAATAAAGGAAAAATTATAATTTAATGGCATTGGAAAGTGGCAGTGACAAAAAAGTAGACCTATTTGAGTAGAATTTGAAGAGATTAGTCTTCAAATTTCTTAGCTGCAACAAAAGATAAAGTATAAACACAGATTGAAGGGTGTTCCTTGATTTTAGAGATATGAATTGAGTGAAGCACAAAAACAGAAAAATGCAGTCATGAACTTAAAAACACATTTAGTGTACACATTCAGGCTCATCCTAGATAAAACTTTGAAGTTACTCTTTTGGGTTCTGTGTCAGCACCATCATGCAACTTTCATCATCTCCCACCAGCTGCCCTGTAGGGAAAAATAATACTTCATGCCATAGAACTAATCCAGGAATGATAGAATTGTAGCTCACAGAGCAAAAACTTGAGAAGTCTTTTTGAAGTGGGAAATTTACTCTTCCAACGTTCTTCAAATCCCATGACAATAATCTGCCCCACTATTTCTAATCTTCTCTATAAACCTTTCTAGAGGAATATTACCCTTAATTGAATTTACTATCTTCTGAGGTGGTCCATTTTGTTCCTTTGGTATTCAGTTTATAAGTGATCTTTAATTAAATATTTAATTATTAGCTACTTTCAAACAAATATTGATTGATTAAGCACCTTCTCTATCCTAAGGACTGTTGAGAATGTAAACAAAGAGAATCAAAAAGTGTATTTCCTTTGTCAGCAACCTATAGCCTCTTCTACAGAACTTTTTGCAGAACAGAATCTAAACTTTTTTTTTAATCAATTGTCAAGTTACAAATTAGGGGGCATTTTAAAAGATTTCTGAAGCATACAAAGCATATCATGTCATATGCTCTCTCATTAAGTATTCTGTAAAAAGGGCAATGTTATAAATAATAATGAAGTTATATCCTTGATAATATTTTTGAAGCAGATTGGAATTATGTATGCAAAAATACATGTACAGAGAATACAATTTGAAAGCTCCTGTTTCTTTGTGATTATGTCTAAAGCATCCAGTGTCCTAAGAAAATATTTGCAGTGAACATTAATTTATTAACAAGAAGGCATCAAACAACTTACTACTTTATCTCTTTTTTAACTGAAAGCCCTAATGCAAGCTTGTCCAACCCATGGCCCGTGGACCACATGCAGCCCAGGACAGCTCTGAATATGGCAAAACACAAATTTGTAAACTTTCTGAAAACATTAGGAGATTTTTTGTGATTTTTTTTTAGCTTATCAGCTATTGTTAGTGGTGATGTATTTTATTGGAAGACAATTCTTTTTCTTCCAATGTGGCCCAGGGAAACCAAAATATTGGACACCCCTTCCCTAAAGCTTTTTTTTTGTTCAAAGTTAGCAACTTCCTTCACCACAGCTTTTCCCAATTTGTTCCTCGAGGACCTACAGGCTCCAGCTAGCCTGGGACCATACACTAGAAAATGCAAAGATTTTTTAAAAATATAAAACACTAACCTGCCCCCTTTCAGTGACTCATCAACTTGAGCAATAACTTTTAGAGTTATTGGAGATATTGTTCCTGGGGTCAACCTCTTAAGCATTCACATTTCTTGTCCAGCTGCAGAGAATATTTATAAATGATAAACTCTGCTTTGAGTGCTCCATCTTCATCTACTCTGAAACAGTTTATTCTTATTCTCTGAAAATCTAGCAGTACCAGGTAGCACAAGTTGGCAAACTTTATTAAAGCCTCATCTTTCATTCTGAAATTGGAGTTATCACTGAGCAGAGGGATTCATTCTGCTTAGATTCTCAATCAGAATAAAAATGATTAATCAGAAAATATGCCTCTCTGGAGAATAGCTTTTATTCTCAAACTATTTTCAAACACCAAATGCAATAATACATTGCTTTAAAATAGAGCATATCATTTCCTTGCTAAATTACACATCAATGTTTGGGGAGGGAAGGTTAAGCAAAAAATATCTTTGCTTTGGAAACCAATGCTTAAAAACCTTTTGATTATTGCTCCTGCATTTTTTATGTTCACATTTAACAGGGAGAGCCTGGTGCAATGGGATTGCCAGGATTAGAAGGATTTCCAGGTGTAAAGGTAAGCACAGAAGTTAGAAATGTGTTCATTTATTCAACATTGAAAATTGTTTACCGAGCACCTAAAGTGCCAAAAACTGTTTTCGGTTTAGGGATATATAAAGGAACAAAACAGACAAAAATTTCCATACTCATGGGACTTATATTCCAGCAAAAGGATATGGAAACTAAAATAATAAACATTTTAAAATCCTTCTTACTGTTGGGACTTTAGAAAGAAAGAAAAAGTAGAGTGGGTTAAGGAGGACCAGGAGTGCTGAGGAGGTAGGAAGGTAATATCTGAGCAAAGACCTGAAGGAGGTGAGAGGGAGCCCCAAGTCCCCTCCAGTCTGGAGGAATAATGTTCCAGGAAGAGGAAGCTGCAGCTTTAAAGACCCTGAGACTGATGATTTCCTGATGCATCCAAAGAGACCAGGGGAGGGAGTGAGGGGATAGTCATAGAAGATGAGGTCAGAGAGGTGGGGGTAGAGGTGAAAAGTGTCCTTGTCATATAGAGCAGTGCTGCTCAATGTATAGCCAGTGGAGAACCAGTGCCAGTCTACAGACCCTTTGTTATGGGTTCTGTGGCAATGTTAGTACAGAGACTGAAAGTAAGCACCTAAAAACATGTCAAATCATTTGTCTAAAATTGTCTAGCAACCATGTGACAGTAGAATTATCTTTGTTCATTATATATTAGAACAGAAATAAGAGATTGCTCTTTCACCACAGGAAGTTTGAGAAGCCCTAATAAAGAGGCTTAACAGCCATTGTAAGGCCTTTATTTTCCACTCTGTGTAAAATGCAGAGCCATCCGTGATTTCTGAGTAGTGGCATGAGGAAACTTGCAGCCAGAGGGAGTGCAAGGGTGGAGGTAAGGAAGCCAGGTAGAAGATAGCCAGTAATTCAGGTGCCGATTGATGTTGGCTCAGATCAGAGCAGAAACAGTGGAGATGGTGAAAATGCCTGGATTCTAGATATATTTTGAAGGTGACACTGATAAGATTTTCAGATTGATTGGATTATTAGAGAATAAAGAGGAGTCAAAGATGACCCTCAGTTTTATGACCTGAGCGCTTTGCAAAATAGGATGGACGTCATCTGAAATGAGGACAGCTATGATGAGCAAGGCCTATTTTGAAAGGATGGAATTATCAGGAGTTTAATTTTGTACATGAGACCAAACTTGGAGATATCTGTAAGACAGCAAAGTGAAGGTATTGAGTAGGCAGTATGATATAAAAGTATGGAGTTTGGAAAAGAAGTCTAAGTGGAGATATAAATTTGGCTGTTCTAAGCATAGAGATGTTGTCTTAAAGCCAGGAGACTAGATAAGATTACCAAGGGAATGACAGTAGACTTTTTAGAAAGAGAAAAGGGTCAAGGATTGAGTCCCAAGGCCCTCCAGTATTAGGAGATCAGCAAGAAAAGGAGGAAGGAGCAAGGGAGACTAAGAAGTAACCAGGGACGTAACAGGAAAACTTGGTATCCTACAGTCCAAGAGAGAATAATGAATCAAAGGGAAATGGGTGATCACATGTCTCAAATACTGCAGATAGGTCAAGTAGAATGGGGATGGGGCCAAACAGAATGGTCAAGTATTGAACATTGGATTTCACAATGTGGAGGTCATGGGTGACCTTGACCACAGAAATTATTGTTTCACTTTATTGTAGGAGCAATTGTGTACTTGAATGGATTTAAGAGAGAACAAGGAAAAAAATAGAGACAGCAAGTCAGTATAAATAATGCTCACAGAGTTTTGCTGCAAAGGATAGCAAATAAATAAGCCAGAGGCTGCTAGAGGAAGTAGGGTGAAGGTTTTATAAGATATATTTTGAAGGTGATAGAAATATTAGATTACTTATATGCTAAAGGAATGACCCAGTAGAAAGGGGGAAGATAGGGATGATATGCTGGAGAGAGGAGAGAATGCTGCACCAATGTCTTTAAATAGCCTAGAGGGAAGGGGACCTAGAGCATAAATGAAGGGTTTGGCTTCAGAGAGGATAGTTTATCTACAGTAAAAGGGGAGAAAATAGAGTATGGGGGCAGAGATTGATAGGTAGGAAGATGTATGGGATAGAGTCTACAGAAGTAGTTTTCTGATTGCTTAAATTTTCTCAGATAAAGAGGAAGCAAGGTCATTATCTGAGAGCAAGGTAGGGAAAGAGGTTGAGGATTTAAAGAAAAGGTCCTCTAGGAAAGAGAGAGGGTTCAGGATCCACAGAAGTGTGATCACTGCTCAGCCCTAGTGACCCTCTTGAGGTTTATGGTCGTTAACTAAAGTGAGACCTCTCAACAAGACTAAGTGTACTGGCGGGGCATAGTGGCTCACACCTGTAATCCCAGCACTTTGGGAGGCTGAGGCGGGCAGATCACTTGAGGTCAGGAGTTCAAGACCAGCCTGGCCAACATGGTGAAACCCCATCTCTACTAAAATTTAGCTGGGTGTGGTGGCAGGTGCCTCTAATCTCAGCTCCTCAGAAGGCTAAGGCAGGAGAATCACTTGAACCCTGGAGGTGGAGGTTGCAGTGAGCCAAGATTGTGCCACTGCACTCCAGCCTGGATGACAGACTGAGACCCCATCGCAAAAATAAATAAATAAATAACACCACATGTACTTGTCCAGCCACATTCAGATATTCAGGTAAAGGTGCAGAATAGGAGGGCAGTTGGGACAACAATGTTCTGCTTTTGACAGGTGAGTACTAGAAGGAAGAATGGGACAAGACACTTATTAGCTTATTGGCATACACAAGGGAATTATTATAACAAGAAACCATGGAATTTTAACTAGGCAGAAAAGAAGGAGAGGTCATCCAGGGAGTGAAACATAGTAACTTTGTACCATCAATGGGTTAGAATTTAGTGGTTCAGGGTACTCAAAGAGTAAGTTAAAATTATGTGGAATGGTGGTCCACAGTGGGAATGCATGAAATTAAGATTATGGATGGGCAGTAAATATTTTCGTTGACAAAGTGTCAAGTGTAACTATGAGAATAAGAGGCAAGTTCATTAGGGGCTAATGGTTAAGGAATAAGAGATGTGAGACATGCAAATGTTTTATTGAATGAAAAGTTGAAGTATATTAATTTCAAAAATGAAAATTTCATAATTCAAAAGGAACAGAGGGAAACTGATGTGTATTGCTCATTTATGTCCTTTACTCATGTTCCTATTAGTTATTTTTTTCTTTTTGATGATGGCTATGCTTCATATGTTAAAGACATTACATCTATCTTATGTGTTGGAGTGTTTATCCTAGTAAGTCTTTCCTTTTCATTGTTATGTTTAATCTTATTATAAATATAATCTTAATGTAGTCAAATCTAACACTATTTTTCCTTATGATTTCTTGTTTTGCTTTTATGCCCAAAATAACCACTTTTATTTTCAACCAAGATCAGAGGGTCACTAATATATTCTTTGAGCTTTTTTATAGTTTATATTATTTTATTTTTATATAAATCGATATGGAATTTATATGAGATAATATAAAGAGAAGAATTAAACTTTTTTCAAAGAAAGTATCCAATTATTCACACTATTTGTTAAATAAAATTCTATTATAAATGCTGGTATGTATCTGATATTTCTATTATAATATATTTATATGCTGCTTAATCTTATGCCAATTTTCCATTATAGCTTTATTTATTAAACGTTTAAATATTGTTATCACTAGTATATCTTCTTTTAATTTTTTTATCCTCTTAGTTATTATTCTAAGTAAACTTTAGTATCATTTGATAAAACTGCAATTTTGTAAGAATTGCATTGTATTTATAAATTAGTTTAGTTAGCAATGACACCTTTACAACATTGTCTTACTCTCCAAGAACAAAGCATATCTCTTCATTAAATCAAGTCTTTTATGTCCCTGAGTAAAGTTATAACTTTTTTTAATTCCGTTTTTGCCCAACAAAATTGCCATTTTATTATCCCATATATTGTCGTTAGTATTTTTAGCATTGTCAGCTTTATCTAAAATATCACATTGCCTCTTAAAAAGGAGTTGAGTGACTCTGTTGTACAGATTTAATTCAAGTGATCTTCTCATTGACCAAATGAGAACTACAAATCATTAGTTATAGATCATTTTATTCTAACTGTACATCCTATGAGACAATGATAGGAAAAGCTTTGTGGAAGACACTCAAAGTGCTTAATTGTTTAGGTAAGAGTAATGATCTTTTGAATATGTGGAATAAAAATGTTGACTGATTTTAGCTATAAGTATGTATGGGCACATTAAAATAGGTCGCAGAAATTATAACATCTATGCTTGTTTTCATTAAGACTATTATTTACTTTAGCTTTATGGAAAATAAAAAAAGCTGTAACAAGTTCAATTGGCAGTTGGCCACTCAGTTTGTTATTTTCCCATCTACACACTAGCTTCACTCCAGCTAATATTGATAACACCAGATCAAAAGGAAAAGTTTACCAAATTCAAATTATTATTTGAGAATTTTATAAGTAAAGACTTCATAGATGTTTTTATAAGTAGCAATATTTTTAAATCCCAACAGGGAGATCGAGGCCCAGCTGGTCCCCCGGGAATAGCAGGGATGTCGGTGAGTTCAGATTATTTTGCATCATGTTCACAGGTAAACAGTTCTATCTCCATGATACACCTGTGGCCAGGGATCAAGAAGGGCAGGAGAGCATGCCATAACTCCCATGTCATGAGGTTCCTGACAATTCTAGTTTCATAAATAATGCCACCTGTATTGTCCACCTCCAGAATCCTCTGTTTCTTATTTTTTTGTTTGTTTTTTGTCCTCTTTTTCTTTTTCTTCCCAAGTCACTTTCATGTAGGGGAGAGGAAACCCAGTTATTATACATTAATTTATGAGCACAGCTCTTGAAAGTTCATTGTGTTTCTCTATTCTTGTCATATTTCAAGGTTTCTCAATCTTCAAAAGACAGAGTTCTTATCCTCAGGCATGTACTTCAAGTTCCTTGTATTAAATTGCAATCTGCCTGAGTTATTCCTTAGCTAGGTGTTATTAGCAGAGTTTTATTACTGCTAATGTTTCCTCATAAACTAGCCCTTCAATCCTCTCAATCATTTTTGTTGCCTCTCTGGTGTCAAATGTTTTAATCTCATCAAGGTCTTTTCAAATGAATAGGAAGTGCTCTAAGAAAGGTTGACATTATTTCTCTGAGCCCTAGAGATCATTCTGGTCTTCATTCATGATGCTCTAATTAAAATTTTGTGGTCACACTTTATGAATAAGAGATCATTTATCCTCTTGCTAGGTACCCCTGCCGGGCAGGTCCAGGATAACGTTACAGGAAAGTCAGTGAAAACCATGGGCTTGTATCACAAGAACATAAGAAAGATAAGATAAGGGCCCTACCATCACCACCTGTAGTCACCCCCTGAGATCTCCTGACACCCAACACCACTCAAAGCCCTGCCCATTACCCACTGCCATCCCACAAAGTGCTCAGAGCCACTCTACTTCACTCCATTAATTTCTAACCACACAAAACAGAGCCCCATCCATCATCTGCATCTTTCGTAGACAATGTCATTTTCTTACTTAGCCATTATAGATTAAGTCAAATCTTTGTATGACTATAAAAGTAACTTGAAAATATCCTCTTTCGAAACTCCTTCCAAATTTTTTAGAAAAGAAAGTATTCTTGAAAGGTGACTACACACTGAATTCTATTCCCTCACCACTGCCCCACCCTCTACTATTTCCAGCAACATGTTTGGAAATCAGTTACTGGAAGTGTCCTTAGAGAACCCTTACAACCTATTCCTCTTATACTCACATCCTGTGATTTGAATTTTTGTTTCCTTGTGATATAATAAAGTTTAATTTTTTTCATTGTATTCACTCAGGTGTGTCTACATAATACATTTTGCTATTATCTTAAATTAAGCTTATCTTCTAGGAAAAAAGTACTGGCCACCATTGAAAGTATTTAAAGATGTACAACAGTAGCAACAGGAAATCCAAATGAGAAATTCCAAATACATTTTTCAAAGAGGCAGCATTATTTAGATAAGGGGCTAGCCTGCCACTTATTTGTATGTCTAATATCTGATATATTTACTAACAAAGCAGTTTTCATATGTCATAATTAAAAGCATTAACTGACTAGGCACGGTGGGCTCACACCTGTAATCCCAGTACCCTGGGAGGCCGAGACGGGTGGAACACTTGAGCCCAGAAGTTCAAGACCAACCTGGGCAACATGGTAAAACTCTGTCTCTGCAAAAAGTGCAAAAATTAGCTGGGCATCTTTAGTCCCAACTACTTGGAGGCTGAGGTGGGAGGATCACTTGAACATGGGAAGTGAAGGTTGCAGTGAGCTGAGATTGTGTCACTGCACTCCAGCCTGGGCAACAGAGCAAGATCCTGTCTCAAAAAATAAAATAACACCATTGACTGACAATTACAGAAATAGGAAAGGATAAAAATTTTACGTACTACAAATATGTTCAGTTAAAGATGCATATTTGGTTTTTATAACTGGCCCTTCTGTGGCTCAGAAGATAAACAATGGTGATAGCTAGATGACAGTGTGAATGCACTTAGTGCAACTTAAGTGTACACTTAAAAATTGTTTAGATGGCTGGGCGTGGTGGCTCACACCTGTAATTCCAGCACTTTTGGAGGCCAAGGCGGGCAGAACATGAGGTCTAGAGACCAACACCATCCTGGCCAACATGGTGAATCGTGGTCTCTACTAAAAATACAAAAATTATCTGCGCATGGTAGCAGGCACCTGTAATCCCAGCTACTTGGGAGGCTGAGGCAAGAGAATCACTTGAACCTGGGAGGCAGAGGTTTCAGTGAGCCAAGATTCCACCATTGCACTCCAGCCTGGTGACAAAGCAAGACTTTGTCTCAAAAAAAAATGGTTTAGATGATAAACTTTATGTATATTTTACCATGATAAAAATTTTTTTTTTTGAAAAATGGTGATCTAGTTGAAGTAGGGGTGATGCCTGCCCATGCAGACATGCTGGTCATTCAGCTTATTACCAAGGGAACCCAATCCTGCTCCTCATATAACAGACCAGTCTATCCCTTTCCAGTATATACAGCACTCTCCATGGACTCCCCCTATGGCTTCTTTCTTTGCCTTTCTCTGATGATGGCATGTGGGTTTACAGGAGGGAGTGCCTGTGAGTGCTGGTGGTGGGGTGGGGCCTCTAGTCAGTATGGTGTGCCTCAGCCTCCCAAGTGCTGGACTTCCAGATGTGAATCACTGTACCCAGCCAGAAATGCCACTTTAATTTGGAGAGCAACAGCGTTGGGAGCATTTTAAACTCAAGGTTGGGGAAGAGAAGCGCACGGTATCATTCAGCAATTTGGCTCCTAACATTTCTCTTCAATTTGCCTTGCCAGGGAAAACCTGGTGCCCCAGGGCCCCCAGGAGTTCCAGGGGAACCGGTGAGTTGGCAGTTAAAAACCCTTTTGTGAAACTCAAACCCTAGAAAAAAACTTTCATGACTGTTGTACTTGTGTGCAGCTTTAAAACATTTCTTGGCAGTTAATTTGTGTCTGTGGATGTGTTTATAGGGTGAGAGAGGACCTGTTGGAGATATAGGTTTCCCTGGACCAGAAGGACCCTCAGGAAAGCCAGTAAGTACTTTTTACTTCTTAAAATGTGCCACCTAATCCCAGCACTTTGGGAGGCCAAGGCGGGTGGATCACAAGGTCAAGAGATCAAGACCATCCTGGTCAACAAGGTGAAACCCTGTCTCTACTAAAAATACAAAAATTAGCTGGGCATGGTGGTACGCGCCTCTAGTCCCATCTACTTGGGAGGCTGAGGCAGGAGAATTGCTTGAACCCAGGAGGCAGAGGTTGTGGTGAGTCGAGATCGTGCCATTGCACTCCAGTCTGGGTAACAACAGCGAAACTCCGTCTCAAAAAAAAAAAAAAAAATGCGGGAGAGGACTCAAGATGGCGCTGTGAGAACAACCCAGGATTGGAATTCTCGTTGTGTCTGCGGAGAGGTGAGTCTGAGCTGCATTTCCAGACTGATCTTTGTTGCCCACGGAACGGGGAAATTCCCAAGTGAAGAGGAGACGCGGGACGCCAGGCAGATATTCCGCCTGGCGAAGCCGGCAGCCGGGGTGGCGGCGGCCGGCCCTACCCAGCGCTCCCCACAGGGCGCACTTGTCCGGGTGCCCCGTTGAACCGGCAACCGGAGACGTGAGAGGGCTGGACTTGAGACTGAGCTAGACTTGCACAGTGGGCCAGCCCAGGGGATTGCAGGAACAGAGCGTTAGGATTGGCCCAGTGGGACGAACAAAACCGCGATTTCAAACAAGTCCGGTGCAGACGGCCGGAGACGCTCTGAGGGGGAGGGGCAGCCACCATTACCGAGACAACCTGCCCCAACTGAGATACACGCCCATTGCTGACGCAGCCAGCCGTTGCCGAGGCAACCCGTCCCTACTGAGATACACGCCCACTGCTGACGCAGCCAGCCGTTGCCGAGGCAACACGCTACAACAGAGAGACTCCGCCGCAGGGCGTGGTGGAAAACAGCAGAACGGCTGAGCCAGGGCGAGCCTCACAACAGCAGGGCAGAGCCTCGGCAGGCAAACAGTGGCTAGTCTGCATCCTAGCTGGGCAGGACCTCAACGGACATCCAAAAATAAAGCCCAAACCCCTCAACACAGAGCATTTGAGAAAAAAAAGAGTTTTTTTAATGAGCTCTGTTGCAGCAGAATCAAACATAGCAGCCTAACAGCCCTGAATGAACAACACAGCTCACAGCTCAGCAATTAAACCCCTATAAAGTACAAACTGTCTCCTCAAGCAGCTCCCTGACCCCTCTATATCCAAAAGACTGACATTAGGCAGGCACCATCCTGGGACAAAGATAGCAGAAAAAGAAACTGGTAGCATCCCTCGCTGTGCCACAGCTGCTAGAGGTGCACCCCAGACAAGCAGGGTCTGGAGCGGACCTCAGCAGTCATACAGTGAAGGGGCTAGACTGGTAGAAGGAAAACCAAGCAACAGAAATACTTCATCATCAACATTCAGGGTGTCCACTCAGAGACCCAATCGAAAAGTCAGCAACTACGCAGACGACCAGCGGACAAATCCACAAAGATGGGAAGAAACCAGCGCAAAAAGGAGGAAAACACCCGAAACCAGAACACCTCGCCTCCTAGAAAGGACCAAAACTCCTCACCAGCAAGGGAACAAAGCTGGACGGAGAATGACTGCAACGAAATGACGGAATTAGACTTCAGAAGATGGATAATGAGAAACTTTGGTGAGCTAAAAGATCATGTATTAAATCAATGCAAAGAAACTAAGAACCTTGAGAAAAGATTTGAAAAAAGATTCGAGGAAATGATAACAAGAATGGATAACTTAGAGAGGAATATGAATGAATTAAAGGAGCTGAGAAACACAATACGAGAACTTCGCGAAGCATGCACAAGTTTCAATAGCCGAATTGACCAAGCAGAAGAAAGAATATCTGAAGTCGAAGACCAACTCAATGAAATAAAATGAGAAACCAAGATTAGAGAAAAAAACGCAAAAAGGAATGAACAAAGTCTCCAAGAAATGTGGGACTATGTGAAAAGACCTAACCTACGTTTGATAGGTGTACCAGAAGGGGACGAAGAGAATGAATCCAAGCTGGAAAATACTCTTCAGGACATCATCCAGGAAAATTTCCCCCACCTAGCAAGACAGGCCAACACTCAATTGCAGGAAATTCAGAGAACACCACAAAGATATTCCGCAAGAAGAGCAACCCCAAGGCATATAATCGTCAGATTCAATAGGGTTGAAATAAAGGAGAGAATACTAAGGGCAGCCAGAGAGAAAGGTCGGGTCACCCACAAAGGGAAGCCCATCAGACTCACAGCAGATCTCTCGGCAGAAACACTACAAGCCAGAAGAGAGTGGGGGCCAATATTCAACATTCTTAAAGAAAAGAACTTTCAACCCAGAATTTCATATCCAGCCAAACTGAGCTTCAGAAGTGAAGGAAAAATAAAATCCTTTGCGAACAAGCAAGTACTCAGAGATTTTGTCACCACCAGGCCTGCTTTACAAGAGCTCCTAAAAGAGGCACTACACATACAAAGGATCAACCAGTACCAGCCATTCCAAAATCACACTGAATGCTAAAGAGCATCAACATAATGAAGAATCTACAACAACTAACAGGCAAAACAGCCACTTAGCATCAAAATGGCAGTATCAAATTCACACATAACAATAATAACCCTAAATGTAAATGGACTAAATGCACCAATCAAAAGACACAGACTGGCAAATTGGATAAAAATCCAAAACCCATCAGTGTGCTGTATCCAGGAAACCCATCTCACCTGCAAGGATACACAAAGACTCAAAATAAAGGGATGGAGGAAGATTTACCAAGCTAATGGAAAGCAAAAAAAAGCAGGAGTTGCAATTCTCATCTCCGATAAAATAGACTTTAAAGCAACAAAGATCAAAAGAGACAAAGAAGGCCATTACATAATGGTAAAAGGATCAATACAACAAGAAGAGCTAACGATCCTAAACATATATGGACCCAATGCAGGAGCACCCAGATACATAAGGCAAGTTCTTAAGGACTTACAAAAGGACTTAGACTCCCACACAATAATAGTGGGAGACTTTAACACTCCACTGTCAATACTAGACAGATCTACCAGACAGAAAATCAACAAGGATATCCAGGGCTTGAACTCAGACCTGGAGCAAGCAAACCTGATAGACATTTACAGAACTCTCCACCCCAAATCCACAGAATACACATTCTTCTCAGCACCACATCACACCTACTCTAAAATTGACCACATAATTGGAAGTAAAGCACTGCTCAACAAATGCAAAACAACTGAAATCATAACAAACAGCCTCTCAGACCATAGTGCAATCAAGTTAGAACTCAGAATTCAGAAACAGACCCAGAACCGCACAGCTTCATGGAAACTGAACAACTGGCTCTTGAATGTTGACTGGATCAACAATGAAATGAAGGCAGAAATAAAGAAGTTCTTCGAAACCAATGAGAACGAAGACACAACGTGCCAGAACCTCTGGGACACATTTAAAGCAGTCTCTAGAGGAAAGTATATAGCAATAAGTGCCCATATGAGGAGAATGGAGAGATCCAAAATTGACACCCTATCATCAAAATTGAAAGAGCTAGAGGAGCAAGATCAAAAAAACTCAAAACCCAGCAGAAGACAAGAAATAACTAAGATCAGAGCTGAGCTGAAGGAGATTGAGACACGAAAAACCCTTCAAAAAATCAATAAATCCAAGAGCTGGTTTTTTGAAAAGATCAACAAAATAGACAGACCGCTAGCCAGATTGATTAAAAATAAAAGAGAGAACAACCAAATAGATGCAATAAAAAATGATAAAGGGGAAATCACCACAGATTCCACAGAAATTCAAACCATCATCAGAGAATATTACAAACAACTCTATGCGCATAAACTAGTAAACCTGGAAGAAATGGATAAATTCCTGGATTCCTGTGTCCTCCCAAGCCTAAACCAGGAGGAAGCTGAAACTATGAATAGACCAATAACAAGGTCTGAAGTTGAGGCAGCAATTAAGAGCCTACCACACAAAAAAAGCCCAGGTCCAGACGGGTTCACAGCCGAATTCTACCAGACACACAAGGAAGAGCTGGCACCATTTCTTCTAAAACTATTTCAAACAATCCAAAAAGAGGGAATACTTCCCAAATCATTTTATGAGACCAACATCATTCTGATACCAAAACCCGGCAGAGACCCAACAAGAAAAGAAAACTTCAGGCCAATATCCATGATGAACATAGATGCAAAAATCTTCAATAAAATATTGGCAAGCCGATTGCCACAGCAAATCAAAAAACTTATTCATCATGATCAAGTAGGATTCATCCCGGGGATGCAAGGCTGGTTCAACATACGCAAGTCTATAAATGTAATTCACCACATAAACAGAACCAAAAACAAAAACCACATGATTATCTCAATTGACGCAGAGAAGGCATTTGACAAAATTCAACAGCCCTTTATGCTAAAAACCCTCAATAAACTCGGTATCGATGGAACGTATCTCAAAGTAATAAAAGCTATTTATGACAAACCAACAGCCAATATCATACTGAATGGGCAAAAACTGGAAGCATTCCCTTTGAAATCTGGCACTCTCTCACCACTCCTATTCAATATAGTACTGGAAGTTCTAGCCAGAGCAATCAGGCAAGCAAAAGAAATAAAGGGTATTCAAATAGGAAAGGTGGAAGCCAAATTGTCTCTATTTGCAGACGACATGATAGTATACCTAGAAGACCCCATTGCCTCAGCCCAAAAACTCCTGAAACTGATAAGCAACTTCAGCAAAGTCTCAGGATATAAAATCAATGTGCAAAAATCACAAGCATTCGTCTACACCAATAACAGACTTAAAGAAAGCCAAATCAAGAGCGAACTGCCATTCGCAATTGCTACAAAAAGAATAAAATACCTTGGAATACAACTCACAAGGAACGTAAGAGACCTCTTCAAGGAGAACTACAAACCACTGCTCAATGAAATCAGAGAGGACACAAACAGATGGAGAAACATTCCATGTTCATGGTTAGGAAGAAT